AGCCAATGTCGCACCACTGCACTCCAGCCTGGGGGACAGAGTGAAACTGTCTCAAAAAGACAGAAACAACTGAAGGAAGAAATTCCTAATGGCAGCAAGGCTCCAACTTCCCCAGCTCTGCCGGCTGGTGACTCCCTCTTCCATACCCCATCCGATGAATCTTGGATGGATATTGATGCCTTCACCCTGAAAAATCCCTCCCTGAAGATGCAGACTCAATGTCCCTTGCTCTGTGAAGGCATCTCTGTCCCCTGACCTCACTTCCCAAACAACCGTGCCATCTGAGCCAGCAGTCACTCTGGGCCAAAGTCTGCCCCAGCTCTTGGCACATTTGCCACATCCTTCCTTTCCAGCTTCTCTGATCTAGACCATGAAGGCTGGGGACAGGGGTCTTCTCGTTCTTGGGGAGACCCCCAGGCATGGCACACAGGAAGCCTTCCATGACTAGGGTGGCACAGCAGGTTCCTGGTGTCTGAGGATGGACCAGGATGGTCTCGCTCACTCAAATGGCTCATTCAGGGTCGGAGCTGGCTTGGAAAGGACACCTGGCTTGGGTCCTCTTGCACCTGCCCACACACAAGGGCTTTGATTCGTGCTGTCAGTGGCTCTTTTCTGAACTGTGGGCACCACCACAGCTTTGTCCCTGCTGTACTGTGTATCCCCTTGCCTTTCTGGCTCTGAACAAAGCAGCTCACTCATCCTGATTTCTACAGCTCCCACCCCCTGCCACCCCCACCCTCATGGAGCCTCTATCATGCAAGAAGGGAGGTGGGGACCTGGCAAGTCATCCAGGACAGTTATTTGAAAAGCAGGAGCCAAAATCTGAGACTCGGGCAAGTGGTTCCTAAACCCAGGTCATCAGCACCATTAAGGGGAGCAAAAAAACCAGACCGCGCCAAGCCCCCCGCCCAGAAGATCCTGACTCCTGCTGCCCACAGACAGGCGCATGAGCAGCTTTGCCGAGAACTCCTTTCCATCCCAGACCCCTGCCCTTGGGGGAGCCCCTGGGGCCTGCCAGGGGCCTCTGCCCTCATGGTTGGATCTGGACACTCCTGGGATGCTGAGGCTTCTCTACCTGCTGCAACTGCCTCACCTCACGGGAGGGTCTCTCTACTCAACTTCTGAGTCAAGGTGCATAATCAGGGTGGGGGCTGTGGGCCCCTGTAGCGGGCTGCAGAGAGCCAAGCGCCTCCCACACAGTACAGTGCAGAAGGCGCCTGGTGTCACTGGGAAAAGCCCAGATTCAAACAGGCTGGGCTCCGGAGTCGTGCACACCCTCCCTCAGGTACCCCTGTGCAGAAAACAGTGTCCACAGGGGAGAAAGAGGCCAGGCTGGTGTCGCAGAACGTCAACAGCATCGTCACCGCCACTCCCCCGACTTCCTTCCTCCTGGGATCCCACAAACAACCCCCTGGCTGGGAGCCTGGAACTCCAGGGACCACAGCAGCCGCCATCTACTTGGCATGAGTCATGAATGCCCTTCACACAGCAATCGGATTCCTTCCTGTCTAGCCATGGTTCCCACCCATCACTCCCACTGACACAGGGACCAGGGGCTGGAGCCGGACAGTGTCTGCTCCATTGCCTCCTCACAAACGACAACAGATAAGGATAAGAACAGCAGCAAACGCTGACCCCCCACCCGTGAGAGCATGCGTCACTCAACCCTCAGGGTCCATGGCCCCCCACCCCCATTTAAAGGCGAGGAGGCTGGGTGCAGTGGCTCACACCTATAATCCCAGCACTTTGGGAGGCCGAGGCGGGTGGATCACCAGAGATCAGGAGTTTGAGACCAGCCTGGCCAACATGGCGAAACCCCGCCTCTACTAAAAATACAAAAAAATTAGCCAGGCATGGTGGCACATGCCTGTAATTACAGCTACTCAGGAGGCTGCGGCAGGAGAATCGCTTGAACCCAGGAGGTGGAGGTTGCAGCGAGCTGAGATGGTGCCACTGCACTCCAGCCTGGGCAAGAGAAGGAAGAAGGAAGGAGGGAAGGAGGGAAGGAGGGAGGGAGGGAGGAACCCATTTGAGCGTGTGGGACAGTAACTTGCCCAGGTCACACTGAGTGTGATGGGGGAGAGACAAAGACTCTCCTTGATGGAACTCATCTGGTCCCTCCAGCTCTGTATTCCAGCTAGATCCCATCCTTGGGCATGTTCTCAAGAATCCAATTTTTGCAACAATCCTGCTAAGTCAGTTTAGCCAGAACCCCCTGCCCTTGCTATCTGATCAGATTCCTCATCCCATGCCATCCCCCAGGGGAGATCGATCACTCTGGCCTGTCTTCAGCAAGAATCCTGTCGGGTCGGTTTCACCAGAAACCCTCTTCCCCCTGATGTTACTTCATCATTTTCCATCCATCAACCCCTACCCTTCTTCTTGGCTGTAAGTCTCCACTCGTCCATGTGAATTCAGCATTGAGCCCATTTCTAAGCTTTCCATTTCTAGTCTTTTCCCGATCACAATAGTTACAAATAAAACCTGCTTTTACCACTTTAACGGCTGTCCAGCTTGGGTTTTTCTTTGACACTGCTCTCCTCTTCCCCAGGACGGAGTGGGGTGCTCGGCCAGCACCCCTAGACTGACAGAAGAGCACAGGTCATGTGCACAAGTACGTCAGTAGCACCGCAGAAAAGAGTTTCAAAAGAGGGCCTGACACAGTAACACAGGAAGAGGCCTATCAGCTCTTTTCTCTCTTTCACTGAGACCCCCAGTTACTTCGCAACAGTACTCAGAGGTCCTGGTTCAAATTCAGCCACTCCCAGGATTCCAGTTGAAGATGTGGATGAGTTGAGTCAATGGTTGGCAGAACTGGAACCTACCTCTACCTGGTTTGATGAGCTGAAAAAAGGAGCCGAGGACCCAGGCTGTGAGTATCCCTGGGCTGAATGGTGAGGCTGTGCCAGATGCAGGCTGGACTGTGGGGGAGGAATGCCCTAGGCTGAGTGGGGGAGACGGAAAACATGGAGAGGGAGAGGGAAGGGGGAGCAATGGGAGCACAACCGGCTTTGTAGTCTGCTCCCTCCACCTCCCTGAATACCCGGGACCCTGATTCTGAGCAGGTTAGAGAAGCATCTCCTGAGTGTCAAATGAGCTCTCTCAAAGATCTGCTGCAAGGACCAAATGAGAAAGCACATGTGGCCAGGCACAGTGCCTCAGGCCTGTAATCCTAGCACTTTGGGAGGCTGAGGCAGGAGAATCGCTTGAACCTGGGAGGTTGCAGAGAGCCGAGATCACACCACAGCACTCCGGCCTGGGCAACAAGAGCAAAACTCCAGTCTTAAAAAATAAAAAAATAAAAAAACCTTAGCTGGGCATGGCAGGGCATGTCTGTAATCCCAACGACTTGGGAGGCTAGGGCAGGATTGCTTGAGCTGAGGAGTTTGAGGTTGCAGTGAGCTATGATCCTGCCATTGCATGCCAGCCTGGGAGACAGAGCTAGATACTGTCTCAAGAAAACAAACAACCACCACCACCAAAGAAAGCACATGTAGAAAAGAGCCTGAGCCGTGACCATCACCCAAACTATGACCATCACTTGACTGATGCTAAAACACTTCGGATCTCAAAGGAGACCAGCACCAAGTACTCCATCAAGAGCTGTGTGGCCCATCTGCATGGTAAAATCTTCCACCGTGAGAATCCACACAAAGGCTGGGAGGGTGAACAAGATAGTGCAGTGGGACAGGGACAGGGCAGCTGAGAGCAATTTTTAGTTAATTTATTTTGTTTTAGACAGGCGTCTCACTGTGTTGCCCTGGGTGGTCTTGAATACCTGGGCTCAAGCAATCCTCCTGCCTCAGCCTCCTGAGCAGCTGGATTACAGGCACGTGCTAGAGGAGCCTTTTTGATTTTAAACCTGATCTCGAAGTACAGGGAGCCCCAGGAAGCCCTGAGTCACTGATTTCCCGTGTAAGCTTCCAAGGCAGAAAAACAGCCAGTGGCTGCACCTCCCAAGACGTGGCCAGCAGAAGGGGTGGCAGAAGGGGTGGCAGAAGGGGGTGAAGCCGGCACTTGGTAAAGATTTGCTGATCCGAATGAGAATGTGGAACCCATCAGCAAGATGACAAGTTACTCAGGGAAGGGCCACCCTCTCCCTTCATTCTTCCTGGCGCTTGGTATTTAACCGCAAGAGGATTTTTACTTCCTGCTTAGGGAGGGAGCTGGGGCTTCCTGGGGAGCCCTGTGCTTCCAGGGGCATGTGGAATGCCAGACCCACTCCCTCTAGAGGCCTCTTGTGAAGATGGAAGAGAGAGCTGTAGCCACAACCCACCAATATAATGTACTATAAGGAAAGCGTGACCAGGGCTTCCTCCCAGCTACCCCCGCGGAACTGTGAGGGTGGGAACAGGAGAAACAGGGCATGGGGTGCCTGCTATGATCCTCCAGGAAACACTGGTGGCGGGCTCCCAGGGGCTGGATAAGCTTCTGAAGGACAGAGGGCCCAGGCAGTCTTCTTAAGAACCACGGCCCCCTGCTGGTCCTGTACGGACACATTCTTGGTCCCACCTGGGGGCTTCCAGGCTAGCCTGGGAGGAGACCTGTCTGTGTGCACCCTGTTCAGAGATACAGCTCTACACCCTGGGAACTGGGTCTAGACCACAGATAGCGGATGCCAAACAGGCAGCCTCTGGGACCCCTGTGCTTTTCTAAGAAGACTGGCACAGGATGTGCCAATTTTGGCCCAGGGCACCACCTAACCATTCTGCCTTTGGGTTCTCCTATGGCCAGGCAGGAACTGAGGCCCCAGCTGCAAAATCAAGTTGAATGGAAATTCCTTTGGGAATGAGCCAACACAACAGACACGCAGACAGAGAGCAGAACATCAAGACCCATCAAGACACATGCAGGCACCGACTCAGGTCTCCCACAACGGATGTTTCAGAGTCACAGCTGCCCACCCCACCCTTGGTGCAAGGCCATCTCAGTGTCCCCAAGGGCTGCATGAAAAAGGACACCATACATCAGACAGGGGAGGGTAGAGATGGCCGCCTTACTTGGACCTGGCCCTTCCCCATGAGTCTGTCCGTGCTCTCGCCATCCTCCTTGGGGATCTTCGTCTTGTTGTAACACTTTTCGTAGCACAGTATCCTCAGGGTCTGGGAGCCCTCCAGCTCTATCTCAAATTCCTGCAGGCCCGAGGGAGAAGGGAGGAAGTCCAATGTGAACAAACAGGTCAATGTTATAGCTGAAGGGTCCTCTGAACCCAGGCTCTCCCTGTCGCCCTTGCTGGCCCAGGGGGATTGATGCCTGAGACCCTCCTCCCTTAGTCCTGGGACACATGGAAATGTTTCCTGTAAGCATCCCTGGCATGAGACTGTGGCTCAGCCTGGATGCTTCCAGAAGCTCCAACTGCCAGTCAAACCTAATCCAAACTCCTTACACCAGCATCTCAAAGGGTGATCCCCACACCACCTGCCTCACAATCTCCAGGGTGCTTGTTAAAAGATATTTCTACGGGCTGGGCGTGAGGGCTCACACCTGTAATCCCAGCACTTTGCGAGGCCGAGGTGGGCAGATCACTTGAGACCAGGAGTACGAGACTAACCTAGCCAACGTGGCAAAACCCCATCTCTACTAAAAATACAAAAAGTAGTCGGGTGTGGTGGTGCATGCCTGTAATCCCAGCTACCTGGGAGGCTGAGGCACAAGAATTGCTTGAATCAAGGAGGTGGAGGCTGCAGTGAGCCAAGATCATGCCACTGCATTCCAGCCTGGCCAACAGTGTGAGATTCTTCCTCAAAAAACAAACAAACAAAAAAAAACCCCACAACAACAAAAAGTTATTTCTATGGACTCTGAATGATAATGATCTGTCAACATAGGTTCACTTTTTTGGTGGTGAGACTGTTCCGTAAGATATTATCATGGTGGATACACGTCATTCTACATTTGTCAAAACCCACAACGTGTAACACCAAGAATGAACCCTATCTAATGTCAGCTATGAACTCTGGGTGATAATGATGGGTTAACGCAGGCTCATCAACTGTCACTCACGTCCCACCCTAGGGTGGAATGTCCATAATTGAGGTGGGGGGCGGGGGTACATGGAACTCTTTGTTCTTTCTGCTCCATTGTACTGCATACCTAAACCCACTTTTTAAAAAATGAATTCTATCTAAAAGGAAACAAAGAGTGATCCTTGGGGTTGACACAGGAGGGACAGGGACTTGGAGGAAAAACTGCTCCCCTAGCTTTCAAGTTGTCTGCGTGGGTGTGGTGTGAACTCTATCCTCCGCCACCCCGATGGTGCCATTGGTGAATCTGCACTTCACGCCAATGTGTGTGCACGTGTGGCTTCTTGCTGGGGAAATGGAGGAGGATGAGGGAAGAAGAAAGCAGCAGGAATTTCTGAACCTGAATGGAGGAGTGGGTGGGTGGGTGTGTGCGCCAGGAACATGTGAGTGTCCCCAAGCCCAGATCTTCATGGACAGTGAGGGTGGTGGAGGTGACCTGCTGCAATCTAACCCTCATGACTTCATGCCTCCCTGGAGCTTCCGTAGATGCCTGGCACCTGAACCTTTTGCACACTGCCTGGCACCCTCTCTTGTTGTCTCTGTTGGGTCGTGGCACTCTTGGTCTCTGCAAAGGCTTCTTCGATGGACCCCATGTGGCTCTTATACCCCCTGTCATCACAGCTGCCACTCAGCCCTTTCTACAGGGATGTCCAGGTAATTTTCCTGAGCTCCTTGTGCCCTTGTACTATTCAAGCAACATGTCTAAAATGGTCAAAGAGTAGTGGATGCTGAGAAAGGAGACCTGGGTTCCAGCCCCACTGCTCGCTCTACCAGCCTTGTGACCCATGTAGACCAAGCAGCCTGGGAGCTCCTGGCTTCCTCCTTCACAGAAGCGGGGGTGGGAGGCAGCTCTCTGTAGGCCCAGCTGCCTCTACCTGCATCATCAAGAATGAGACCTTCGAGGTCACAACTGCTGCAGAAGCTGGGAAACGGCACCTCTCATGGATCTGGGACTTAGTCAACACGGGCCTCTCTGCAATCATTCCTCCACTCCCGAAGGGGCAGGGCCACATGGCTATGTGACTCACACAGCAGCTCTCCAAGGTGGAGGAAGGCACTGCGACACACAGTACAAGCCCAACACCCCGAGACAAGCAAGCAGGACCCTACAGTCCCTGCCCCAGCCCCACAGCAGAGCCCCAGGCTTCCGGAAGCCACGAGGGTCACGGGAGCTCATTCCAACTTCTGCGGAAAAACACTATGGAAACCTACCAAATAAACATAAGCGCTAACAAAGGCAGACAAAAAGCCCTTTTAAGTCTCTTTCCAAACACTTCTCCAGCAAAAGAGGCGGCTTCTTTGTGACGACGGGGTGGGTAAGGTTTTCAGGAACAGAGATAAAATCTCTTGGACACGTCACCTCCTGGCCCCCCAGGAGATTCCTGGAATTCAGCAGCACTGCCTTCGGGGGAAGCCCTCAGGGAGCCCCTGAAGGTTCAGATTCTCTCCAGTGGGAAACAGCCTGCCCCGGCTGGCAGGCTCGGCCCTTGTAGAATCAGCTCCTCACCTCGTTCCAGTTTGGCTCAGCTGTGTCCCTGTAGACGCGCGTCTTTGCTTTATTCACAAAATACCCAAAGGAATCCACCTCCAGGGTGCAGTACAGATCTGTGGGGAGAAGGGAATATGGAGAAGGTCACAGCTCCTCTCCACATCACCCACATGGTCTGTAAGAGCAGGTGTTATTTGCAGAATCAGAAAAGAAATACAAAAGTTTTTAACTTTCTTTTTAAAAATTCAACACCTAATGGGGGACTGGCATGAACACCAGCACCTCACGCGACGCCCCTGCCTGCTCTGTGGCATTTCCCTGGGGGCAGCTGGGAAACAGGACTTCCCACAACATTCGTTCAGTCAGTCAGTCCACAAACCCCAGCTAAAGCCCCTGTGATGAGAAGGCCCCTGCACTAGTGGGGACAGAGAGGTGTACATGCCACCGTTAGTGACGCCACAGCAGAGGCCAGCCGTCCTGGGGGATGTGGGAAGCTCCTGAATCCTACACAGCAGACCCCGCTGCAAGTATTATCGGGCAAAGAGTCAAGGCAAAGGGGACTCCAGGCCACTGTGGGGCACAGGAAGCAGCTCAGTGCTGGGGAAATCGTGGGGTGCAGGAGGAAGGGAAGGAGGCATGGGCTGCAGAAGAGTGGGGCTGGGCTGTAGGCGGTAAGTGGCAGGGTGGGGTTTGTGTTTTAGAAAAACTACCTGAGACGGGGGATGGACAGGCCTGGTGGTGGGGACCCTTTCTGCAGGGATGTCCTGAGCTATGACGACCAGGGAGGAGGCCACAGCCAGGGCCTGGCCAGGCAGCCAGAGACGATCAAGAAGCCTCACTGATGGAGAATGGCATTTAACGGAGGGAGAGCGGACCACGGTTTCTGGCTTGGCCACGGGAATGGATGGTGGTACCCCTCAACGGGACAGGACAGAGGAGGAACAAGTTTGGGGGCCATGAATAATAGGTTTGGTTTGGGGATGCAAGGTTGAGTGCATGGGGCAAGGAAGAGATAGAAAGAAAAGTAACAGGGAGGCAAGGACAGACAAGTCTGGGACCACGGGGCAGCGTAGGGTGTCACACTGTACTGCTCACAGACGGGACCCGGGAGGAGACACAGGGATGGAGGGAGGTTAATGAAGGAAACACCAGCGTTTATGAGGCAGCCAGAGACAGGCCCAGGGGAAAGATTATGTGTTACAGTGTTATGAAGGTGCAATCTGCATGTCATATAATTCATCCATTCCAAGTGTAGGGTTTAAGGACTTTTAAGAAATTTAAACGCCAGTGCAAACAGCACCACAATCTTTTCACGACTGCTCTGACCTAAAAAGTCCTCTTAGGTTCATCTGCAGTTAGTCCTCTCCTAACCCCATCCCCCAACAATCCCTGGTAAGCTTTCTTCCTCTACATTTTGCTGTTTCTAGGAACTTTTTTTTTTTTTCCTGAGGCGGAGGCTCCCTCTGAAGCCCAGGCTGGAATGCAGTGGCACAAGCTCAGCTCACTGCAAACTCTGCCTCCCAGGTTCAAGCGACTCTCTTGCCTCAGCCTCCCAAGTAGTTAGGATTACAGGCGCCCACCACCTTGCCTGGCTAATCTTTGTATTTTTAGTAGACATGGGGTTTCAACATGTTGGTCAGGCTGGTCTCGAACTCCGGATCTCAAGTGATCCACCTGCCTTAGCCTCCCAAAGTGCTGGGATTACAGGTGTGAGCCACCACGCCTGGCATCTTTGTATTTTTAGTAGACACAGTTTCATCATGTTGGTCGGGCTGGTCTCCAACTCCTGAGCTCAAGCGATCCCCATGCCTCAGCCTCCCAAATTGCTGGGATTACAGGCATGAGCCACTGTGCCTGGCCTCTAGAAACTTATACAGTGCAACTGACGTGTTACCAGCCTTTACTGTTCTGACAGCTCCAGTAGCTGGGGGAGACCCCCACTTAGAGGAGAAGGAAAAAAAGCGTATTATCCATCCAGCTCGACAGAGCAGCCAAATCTGCTCTGCTGTGGGGTGAAGCTGCACTGCTGACAGCCCTCCTGGCTTGGACCCAAGACTCCTAGGCACCCCAGGGGATGTCTGTCAAACTCCTTCCCAAACCCCTGCAATTACACGATCCACCTGCAGGGGGCAGCTCACCAGCTCCCAGGATCTGAGACAGGCTAGGGAGAGGGCAGAGGCCACTGCGGGAAAAACAATTCCACACCCAGAAGGCATCAACAAGCACAAACACTCCACAGCAGCCAGGGGTCAAAGGTGTCCCGTGGTCATCTGAACAATCTCCCCGTTTCCCCACACCCTGCCCGATGAGTCCTTCCTGGGTGGAGGCCCTGGCTTGGCCGCTGCAACCTTCCTCCCCATACCAGTACTTACTTGAACTCTGCTTAAATCCAGTGGCTGAGTGGACGATGACATTCAGAAACCCATAGAGCCCCGGAGACTCATCATCTGCGCAAGAGACCAAAGAGGTGAGCTTCTGTTGTCCCGGGAAAGGGAGGCAGGTGACAAGCTAACTTTGCTTCAGAATCAACCATCCGGTGGACACCACGTGGCTGCCATCTGCCCAGCACAAGGCAAGCCAGTGTCATGGGCCAAAAACATACCCATCATGATTTCTGTCTTGGGGACCTCAGGATCCAGTTGGTTTCACAACACAGGCAAACCAGTGACCCAAAGTGTAATAAGGTTCCAAGGACAGCAGAGGGGGTCGGGGTGACGTGCGATGTGAGTGGGGTGTGTGTGGACACATGTGCATAGCATATGCTATGTGTGTGACTGAGCACACGTGCAACAGTGAATGCAAAACTCAGCTTGACCAAAAGTGCCGGCTGGCAGGTAGCTGGAGGAGAGGAGGGCTGGGAGGACGGGCGTGGGGCCAGATCCAAGGCACACAGCATCTGAGGAGCATCTGCTGCAGCCTCCTGACTAGGAATAGAAGCTGTGCATCTCCTCAACCACCCAGCAGCAGCCACTCAGGGAGAAACCACTCCTAACCCACCTCGTCCACTCCTGGGAGGAGACAAGAGGCCCTAATAAGCACAGCTCTTCCTTCCGAACCAAAGTCCACTAGTCCCAACAAAAGTGCTAACAGGAAGAGGGGATCAGCCTTCGGGTAGCTGCCTGCCCTCCCTACAGGTGCCCTGTACACAGGAGGGCGGGCCCACCTTCCTTGTTGATGGTCAGTGGAATGCTGTGGACGGTCTGGAGTTTCACACACGAGTTGGTCAGCATCTGCAGCTCCACAGATGTCAGGGAAAAGCTTTTGAAACCTGGGAGGTTGGAAAAGAGGTGCACCAACTGGTCAGTCTGCTCCTTGGCCCTCTGGCTCCTCCCGCTGGACCCCCACCACACCCTGGGGAAGGGGCATGGCAAGAACTGGTGCCAGGGTTGAGGGCTCAGGAGAGGGCACTTGGCTCCCAAGTGCAGTGCTGGTCTGGCAGCAGAGCGAGGTGTGGCCTTGGAGAGCCCAGGCCTGCAGAAGTCTTAGCATGAGACTTACAAACACACACGTCCCACGCTACCTATGCACAGCCACGCGGCAGGTCTGAGAATGAGCGGCTGGACTGGGAGCACCTCCCTGTGAGGTCTCCCAGACAGCAGCATGGCTCTGCCCCTCCTCTGCTAACACAGGCCCTGTTTCTCCACCAGGTGAGGAAAAGGGGCTTATTTCTGGGCATAATGCTGAACAGGCTACAGAGGCTGCCACTCTGGAAATGGCTGGGGCTCCCATGTTATGACAGGAAATCCCGGAACACAAGCACTGGCAGGGCTGCCCGGAGATCCGTGTTCCTCCAGGCCACGGTGGCATTGGGAGCTGAGATGTGGCTCTGCATAGGTGAGAATGATGAGCCTGAGGGCGCAGGAGGTCAGGCCAGGCCAGAGGTATGCAGAGCCCCAGCCCAGCATCCCTGTGAAATACGCTGCTTTGCAGGAGATGGCCCACAGCTGTGGGAGGACCAGGCCACCTGGATGCAGTGCTCAGCCCAGCTCCCCCTGCAAGAGGGACAGTGGCACACAAGAGTCCCAGTGGGAAGACCTTGGTAAGGATGGCATGTGAATCCCAAACCTCCAAGGAGGGAACCGGGTCTGCCTTCCCCACTGACACTGCCAGGCAGGAGCTGAAGGAAGGAGCACCCTGACAGAGGGAAGTGCCCAGAGAAGGAAGGGGCTGCCCCAGACAGGCGGGAGTGCCCCTGTGCTGAGAGCTAGCCACCCTGGCCATATCAACAGGGCAGTGGGGCCAGCACACTGTGGTTGCCCAAGTGGGCCGGGAGCAGATGAGGGGAAATGGGGTGGTGGCAGGGTCCCAGAAAGGCCTAGGGGGCAGGCCAGGGGTGGGGTGTATGGGCAGCGGGCTGGGGGCGGATGGCAGGGGTGTGTGTAGGGGCGGGTGTGGAATCAGGAAAGGGCCTGGGGAAGGGGGATCACAGGGCAGTGGGGAAATGAGTGCCCAGGGGATGGGGGCAGGATAGGCAGGCGGGGAGACAAGAGGCCTGGGGGCCTATCAGGGCGGCTATCTCCAATGCAACACTTCACTTGGATAAAACCCCTCAAAATAAAAAAGAAGGTTTAAAATCACAGGAGCTGCCAGCCTGGCCCTAATGTTTTGAAGCCCAGACCTTCTCGGGACAGAGGATACTCACACTTCTTCTGCTGCTCCCGGATGTTCTCCCTCCACTCTGCACGCTCATAGTCAGAGGAGATCAGGAACGTGTAACTCTAGGGTGGGCGAGAAGAACACACCCAGTTATCTCCACCCTGGCTACGCAAATGCCTGGTAGGCCCAGGGCACCTTAGAGCACACAACTCATCCCTCCAGCTGGCTGGAGCCCCGTGGCCAGGTGTGCTCACGGCCTGGCATGTCGCTTCCGGTACTCCCTACCCTTCCTGCCAGCTGGATGCCACAGCACCCGTGGCACAAGCTCTCACCTGAACCACATGGGTCAGGGTGTGATGCTGGCAGAGGGGCACAGCTTAGGGACATGGAGGTGACCAGGTGGGATCTGCAGAGGTGAAGATTAATCCAGACCTGACCTCCTGCATTCAACCCACAAGCCCCACCAGCAGAGCCCACCAGCAGCCTCTCCCGGCCAGGCTAGAAAACAAGCCATTCTGGATGTTGACAGATACGTGTTGACAGGAGGGAGAGGCCCAGGTTACAGACGGCAGCAGGAGCCAGACTCAGGATAGAAAATGCGTCTCTGGCCCTCAAGGTCCCGGGACAGCATCCCTGTACCAAGGGCCAGGTCTGCACCTGCTAGGCTCCCCTGCCCTATACCCTCCCTGGAGACCCTGCCCACTCCCAGTTGTGGAAGCTGAGCCAGCTGCCACTCAACCTGGGGGCTACGGCCCAAAGCCCCAGACAAGGGAATGAGTATGCTTGCATGCACCATGCTGGACAAGCCTCTCTCAGTGTGGGGTGCGTCCAAGTGAAAACGTGCTGCCATGAGGCAGTCAGAGCCCATCCCAGGCCGGGAGAGCAGGAGGGGCCAGCACAGCAGGCACTCACCTTGCCATTGCGGCTGTGCACCCTGAAGGCCATGCTGGGAGACATGAGCAGCAGCAGCGACTCCTGCTCCGACAGCTTCTTCTTCAGCCTCTCCGTGGCCTTGCTGCCCTTGTTCGCCCTCTGCGGGGAGATGCCACAGCCTCACCTTCCCATTCCAGCACCCCACACAACCCACTCCCACTCCATCCATCCCCACCCACTAGCTGCATTCAGCCTGCACAGGGCGAGAATCTCATCTCTCCACTCAGCATAGCCCAGGGCCCCAGACCGCAGTTGCTGTTTGGAGGACAGAAACAGTCTTTTTACAGGGTGAAGGCATGGCACAAGCTGCAGGACATGCTCAGTAAACCTTTTTTGTAGGAATTAAGTCTTCCCTCTCACAAGGGCGGAGAGAAGAGACTTTTACAAACATCCCTGCCTTTCATTTTCCCAAATTCAGACAATGTCCAGGAGGCCGTTGTGACCTAGAGGGTCCCTCACCCCCTTCCTAACCCAACTAGGTTTCAGCATCGGGCCCCCTGGGCACGTTTGTGGAGGTCTCAGCAGAAGGCCAGACGACTGTCAACAGAACCTGGATGGGAAGGCCCTTCCTACGCTGAGTGTGCTGCCTGTCACCAGGTAGGGCCCCATCCTATCCCATCCCCCAAAGAGCTGAACATGGAGAATGCAACAGTAACAGTCAATAGGCCTCAGCTGCCCTGAGCACTGGCTCCCACTCTGTGTGGGGACACCCTACCTTGGAGGTCACAGTCCCACAAGGATGAACAATAGAATGTTCACCCCAGTCTCGAAGCTCCCTGTGTTCCTAAGTGTGCTGGGTTTGGGTACAGCAGGCTGGGCAGCTGGGCAAGGGCTGAGGAACTCCTGTCCTGCTGCATCCACCCTACCTGGGCATCCCTGGACCCAGGCCTAATCTTCTTGCCACCCGCTTCCTCTGGCCTGGCTAACCTTTGATTGAGGGGCTCATCCTTGCCATTTTTACAGTCTTCAAACATCTCTGGGAAAAACCAAGCGCCAGTAGTCCTGAACACCTGGCGGGGTGGCACTCTCACCTGGGCCTGGCCCACATCAGGGTAGCTTGTATGGGGGACAGCCAGCACCTCCCCCAGCCCTGCATCCTGGACTACTCCAAGCCCTCCACTGTCTGGCTGTGACTTTCTCTCTGGTGACTTGGTACTTCACCCGTGTAATGGAACCACACAGCAAAGGACGCAGCCTGGGTATCAGGAGACCACACACTGGAACAGCTCAAGCCCGTGGCCAGAGGTGAGAACCCAGAAGCCTCTCTCCCGCCCAGCTGACTGAGCTCCCGCGTTCCTGCTGCTTCCTTAAAAGGACCATCCAGGCATTCGCCTGTGAACTTAAAAGGGATCACACCCTGTTCCATTATAAACACTGCTAGCTGTCATGTGCACGCTCTCTCTCTCTCTCTGACTCTTCATTTCTGCCTTGTGTGACCCAGGGACAGAAGACTGCCCTCCCTACTCATGGCGCCTCCTTGTCCAAAACCTGTAGGTGAAATCTCTGAACTTGTTTCGTATTGTGGTGGTGTGGTTCTGAAAAACTAGGAGGTGTTGGCTGAGGTTAAGTTTTCCCCGGGCATGCCAGTGAAAACACAAAATCAGGCTCCCAGTGCCACAGCAATGGTCAGGCAGGTGTAAACCGGACCCAGTTTAAACTTGCCAGTATAAACAAGTTTCTCTCGAGAGGAACCCCCGGTCACAGGTCGGACAACTAAGTATGAGGCGGTCCACCAGGTGCAGGAAGTATCCCATGAAAGGCACATTGTAGAGACCACGACCAGTTCCCTTCATTTTTCTGGAGGGCTGGATTGGCAGCCGCTCTGGTATGGGGCTCCCCACTGAGCTGGGGGTTCTCAGAACAACTGGGCACCTACCTGTGCCCAGATGCCAGCCCTCCCAGAGCTGAGAGCTTAGAGGGGTCCCAGAGACCAGACCTGGGGCCCAGAGGCCTGATGGAGAAAGCACCCACTGGCCGGGTGCAGGGGCTGCTGCCCATTCAGACCACACCGAACCCGGCCCTCGCTCCCCTGGCGTGCACCTTCTCTCTCTGGATGTCACTCTTGATCTGGGAGATCTTGATCTTCAAAGCATCCAGCTCCTCGTCCGGCACCAGGGGAATGTTGGGCACTGCCTCCGATTCGTCCACCATCTGGAAGCTGAGATCCGTGAGCGGAATGTACCATTTGCAGTCATACTGCTGGGTTTTGCTGGGGATGGGGAGAGAAGAACGTTCACATGCAGTTCCGGCTGCCTTCCGTGGTTGATGTCACTGCTGTCAAGAGGCCAAGAGCCCATGTTCCTGGCCATACATGGTTTACCTGACCCAAAACCCAGCACGTGTTCCATGGAACAGACTGGGAAGAGGCCACTGGCAGGCGCTGGGATTCCTGGGAACTGTGATTCCTGGGAACAGACACTCTGAACATGTGACCACAGGCCCCAGGCATCTCAGGAGTCTAGATCCACCTTATCCTGAGCTGGCCCTAAGGTTGCAGGCTCATGTGGGAGCACATCAAGGCTGCACAATGACAGGACAGGACTGAAATCCACCCCCAGGGCCGCAGAGTTTGAGGGACTACAGATCTAGCTGGTCATCCCCTCACCTGACAGAAGGGGGAACTAAGGCTGTCCTCTGAGTTGACTGATTAAACCCACTCAGCAGGGAAACGGCAGGATGCAGGGAAGAGCCCCGTGCTGGTCCTTCCCAACATGGCCCTCTTTGCTCCATTCCAACCTGGTGCAACCTGGGTGAATCCAATCCCTGGAGGGAGGAGGGGAACGTGTGCAGGCCTGTGCCGAGAATAACTTAGAAGCCACCACCAGGCTCGGGGAGACAAGGGGCAGTCACCACCCAGCACTGCCTGCAGCCCCTGACCTCACGCTTCCCGGATAGGTCCCGAGGTAACCTTTCTGCAATGGTGCCGGAAGCCATGGTCGGGTTTACCCCTCACTACAGGAGTCAAAGCTGGTCACCATGATGCCTGATGACGTCTCCAGATTGCTAGTGACAATCTTTAACCTTGAGCCCGGCATTGTGCTCAAGTGGAGACGGAATGTAAAGAGAGGGCCCTCCATGTCCTGGAGCGTCAGGGGAAGGTCACCGCCGGGATGGGGGCCACATCGTCACTCACCCTCCGCTCTGCTTCTTGAGCTTGGTGCAGAGAAGCAGGTCGGTGAAGAGGAAGACGTGGCGCAGCTTGCGGGCCCCCTCCACCAGCTCCACCATGAAGCTGTCCTTCAGCAGCTGCCGGTGCTGCGGGCACAGGGAAGGCGGGGTCAGGGCAGCCTGGGGTGATGGGTGGGGTGTGGAGCAGGCTGACCCAGAGACTTTCTCTCCCTGGGAAGATTTCCCTCTCTCCACATCTGACCATCACACCCACTTTCCAGAATGTTTTGTTCATCTCACAGTCCTGCTAACAGATCAGGGCTTATGTGTAACTTCTTTGTTCAGCAAATTTCCCAATCCCTCCTGTGTGTTCCACCTTTGGAAGAGGGTGGGAGGGTGGGGGAGATGGGGAGGTAACGGCTGTGGGTCTGGAAGGGCACAGAGCCAAGCAAACAGTCTGCTGTGAAGATGGGTGATGGGAGGGCCTGCTTTAAACAGGGAAGCTGGTGGCAGTGGAGAGCCAGAATGGCAACAAGCCAGCTATGCCAGGAGCAGGTATTTCTGTAGAGGGACCATCGCAGGCACAGGCCCGTGGTGGGAAGAGATTGGTGCTCGAGGTAAAGATGGGGCAGTATGGTCTATGGGTGGAGATGGGCCCAGGGCACTCTGAAAAGTGGCAGCCCTCAAGGTCACAGCAAGGGTTGGGCCTGGTTCTGAGGGCAGCAGGAACTGGGGGTCTCACATCTGGAACTCCTAGTCCTCCCAACTAGCAGGATGGATAGGGTCCCCGGTGTGCAGGGGCTGCACCTCTGACACCTGCCTGGATACCTGCGGCCTGAGAAGGGTTAAAGCAGAGTGCAGGTGGGCAGCACAGGGCAGGGGGCATAGGCTAATAAGCCACGTGCCTTTCTGCATCTTGGTCTGCATCTGAAAGGCAAGGGTAGGTCCTTCTTGCTCAACGGGCTGCTGAATGGGCATGTCTAGGTAAGTCACCCATGTCTGGTACCTCACAGGGTTGGGCGCTGTGCCAAGGGCACAGGGATAGGATGAGAGGCTGTCGCAGCAAGCCTTCCCCATGTTGGGACCAGTGCACGAGCACATCGCCTGAATTATTTGATCCAGTCCCTACAACAGGCTTAGGCAGGTCCTTAAGGAGAAAACTGAGCTTCAGCGAGGTACACCCTCTGTTCCAGGCGGCGCAGAAAGCGAGGGGCAACATTCACAGGCCTCTACCCTCAGGAGCCCACAACCTCGTGGGAGAGAGACCAAGTGTTTAGTGGGCACCCAGCCCACCTGGTCTCAGGGAAGGCTCACTGGGAGGACGACCCCTGCCCTGCACTGAGAGCCAGAAGCGTCTGCAGGGGAGGCACATACAACAGAGGGTGTGAAAACCCAGTGTCTCCCCGCAGGCGGTGCACCTGTCCCCACCTCGAGAAGTGAGGAGGCCCTGTACTCTCAGGGAGCCAGGCTGGTCCTAGAGTCAGACCAGGGGCCTCGCCCTGCTGTCAGCTGCAGCCTGAGGTTCTTCTCCGGGAGCCTCTGTCTCTCTGAACTTCCCCGATTCTGGGGCCGGAGGCAGCAGAGCTCCCCACTGGCAAGTACAGCCTGGGCCAGGCCTCCGACACTCTCGGGGTGGAGGCTTCATGTCACCATCATAAGCAGCTTGGCTCACGACAGCCAGCTGGCTCTTGTGAGGGGGAACCAATGACTTACGCAGGGGCCGCTGGTGCCCATAAGTGGAAGGGTAGGAAGACTGCCGGCGTGCCAAGGCCATGACTCATCGGCACTCACCCATACCCCGCCTGCCGCCTGGTGACAGCACCCACGGGAAGCAAGAAACTGCATGTGCACCTGGAGAAACATCATGTAGAGCTGGAGCGCTGAAGCCAGGTAACCCAAACTGCTGCGTCTGCGGCGGGGACCAGGTCTGGGTAGGGTCCCAGGACACTGAGGTCCCTCTTGGCAGGGACACAGCAAACAGCCTCCTGGCCAAGGAGGAGGGGTCTCAGGCGCCTTCCCTCTGGGGGCAGTGGCGGGGCTGGATGGCAGGCTTCTCCATACAAAGGCACTGAGCTTCTCGCCATCACCAGCAGAGGGCACCCCATGCTCAGCTCAGTAGCCGCAGACCCAGCTCACTCTGCCTGCGGGCCAGAAATGCAGCTCCCTCTCCAGCAGAGGCTCCCCACAACTCACCTCTGGGGCACCCTCGGCCTTCGGCAAGGCCAGTGAGTGTCACACTGGGTGCCTGTAGCACCCACATGCCAGCATGCCACATTGAGAGGACACAGGCTTGACTGTGGGGAGGATGTGGTCCCACTGGGATGCGAGCTGCAGGCCTGGGAGGCTCGGACAGTGGACTCAGCTGGTTCTGAGCTACTCTTTTGATGCTGCCACAGCCTCCCCAAACCCCCACCCACCTGTGCAACTCTTATCTGAGAGAAGCCCGAAAGCCACAGGCACCCCAGCATGTCACAGCATCTTAGGCCCTGCTCTGCAGTCCCTCTCACCTGGCCCCTGCCCTCCCAGCCCACACAGCACCAGCGCATAGCTGGCAGGCCCACATGGTGTGGCGTATGTCACTCCCTGCCCAGGAGATGTCCCTCTCAGAAGCGCTCAGCAACTTGGTCCCCGGCCTGGAATACAGGACAGTTGGCCTTGAAATCAGCACAGGCTTCCCACATAGCCCACCCGAGTCATCCTCCAGGGCACACGGCAAGGGTGGGCCGGGGTCACAATCCTGACTGCATCTCAAAGCTGGCATAAGGCCACGTGGCTAGAAACCACTGTCCCCAATGCTCAGCATCTCACCTAGGGCAAACACTCCCAGCTGGAGCTGTGGGACAGAGAGGGCCAGGACCTCAACGGCCCAGGACAGGGACAGCACCACACTTTGGAGAGCTGGCTTGCTGGCGCTGTGGGAGCCTGTGTGTGAGAAGGGCACAGGGGAAGATCCTATGTGTTCTGTGTCTGCGTCTCTGTGTGTCCCTTTGTGCATCTCCATGTCTCTGGGTGTGTTCATTCTCGTGTGAGTGTGAGCGCCTGAGCGTGTCCTCATGCATGGAACCCCACACAGGCCTGTGGCCTGGATAGGTGAGTGCCCGTGTGTCTCACTGTGTGTGTCTCCATGTTTCTATGTGAGTGTATTTCCAGGCAAGGGCAAGTCCCTGTGCGTGTCAGGCCTGTGTGTGTCCTGGTGCAAGTAACCCCGTGTGGGCGTGGGTCCCCGTGTGTGCTGCGGGGCAGGGCAGGGCAGTGGGACAGCAGGCCCCAGCTGGCAGGACAACACTCCCCTTGGGGAGCCCCCCAACATCCCAGGTGGGAAACACCAGCTGGAAGAAACACCACCTGTCTCCGTGAACAACTAAAATCATCATCCCCACAGGAGCCCCCAGAAAGCAAGGGCGGCCAGGACAGCCTGCATCTTCACTGTCACTGGCCTTCAGGAAGGCCAGTCCGGAAGAAGCACACTGTTAAGACTGAAAGTTTCTGTCCCCCTCAGAATTCATGCTGAGGCCCTAACTCCAACGGGCTGGTATCTGGAGGTGGGGCCTTTGCAAGGTGAGTAGGTACAGACGAACCCACAGGATGGGGTGAGTGTCCCCATAAGAAGAAAGACAGGTCCTTTTCTCTCTCCATGTCCACTCCCAGGAAGGCCATGTGAGGATACAGGGGGATGGCAGCCGTGCTTCTTACTGCCCTCACCAGAACCTGACCCTGCTGGCACCCTGGCCCTGGATCTCCAGCCTCCAGAACTGTGAGAGGTAAAGGCCTATGTGTGGGCCTCCCAGCAGACAGTGCTTTGTTACAGCAGCCTGAACCGACCACGACATGCTCCAGCAATCAGAGACCACGGCTCCATGGAGATGCTGGAAATCTTCCCCAGGTACAAGAACTGCAGTTTGATCATCAACAAATCAGCAGGGCCTTGACTGGTGGGACAAGGAAAAGTTGCCAAAGATGCCCACGCAGCAGCTGAGAAAGTGGAGAAGGAAGACAGCCCAAGTGAAGACCAAGGTGGAGCTGTCAGCTGCTGGCTGGTGGGGGGGGGGCCCTGAAGGCAGCCAGTGGCCTCAGCCCCCACTACCCTGCCCCCAGAGCAAAGTGCACACCCCTGGAGACCTGGCTGAGTGCCACTGAACTGGCTGCCACTGCCTGTCAGTGGCCCTGTCTATGCAGAGATGTGGCAGACTCCAGAGGTTCGGCAGTGGGACCAGGAGCAACGAGGGTCACCAGGCAGGCCAATACACACTGCAGCCGAGAACGAGGTCAAGGGTCCTGCTCATCCTTCCCTCCCTCTCACTTGCTCTTGACTTGCCCTCCCTGCAGACTCTCTGGTCCCCAGGAAAGCCTCCCATGGCCAATCTGGCCCAGAAAGTTTCCTATGCCCTGAGAAACCCTATGCCAGGTGGAGGATAGGGCGGGGCCTGGGAAGAACAATGCTGGCTGATAGCCACAGTCAGGGTGGCTGGTAGCAGCTAGTATTTGCTGAGCTCTTTCTGGGTGCCAAGAAGGTGTGAAAAGAGCATGACGTAAAACATCTCATCTCACTCCACAGAACCCTCCCATGCAGCAGGCTCCAGCTTCACCACTGCCTGGAGAAGAAACAGCTCAGAGGTAAGCAACGTGCCCACGCTCCTGGAAGGAATTAGAACTTGGCCCAGACAAGTCGAGAACCCAAGCTTTGTTTGCCAATGTTTATGAAGGGCCCAGAAAGGCCTAGCTCTCGACATAGGCACTAGCCTTGCCATTACAGCTTCTGTTTGGTGTCCAGTGGAGCTGAGAACCCCACCCATCCCGTCTTCACCTCTGGGGTGGGCACCTCCCTCTCCGTAGCACCCCTGCAAACTTTGCCAAGAGGTTCTGGCTTCTCCAACAGTTTTCCAACTCTTTTTTTTTTTGAGACGGAATTTCACTCTGTTGCCCAGGCTGGAGTACAGAGTGCAATGGCGTGATCTTGGCTCATGGCCACCTCCACCTCACAGGTTCAAGCAATTCTCCTATCTCAGCCTCCCGAGTAGCTGGGATTATAGGCACATGCCACCACGCCCAGCTAATTTTTGCATTTTTAGTGGAGACAGGGTTTCACCATGTTGGCCAGACTGGTCTCGAACTCCTAACCTCAAGTGATCCACCCGCTCTGGCCTCCCGAAGTGCTGGGATTACAGGTGTGAGCCACCATGCCCAGCCTGCTCTCCAACTCCTTAATCATCAACTGAAAGACCTTGGTTCTCCTCTGCCCGAGCCTCACCATCTCAGCCTCAAGCCTGCACTGGTGGTACTTCCCTGCTCTAGGGCCTTCCTGCAGCTCCCGTTTGGACTGCTGCCGGTGTTCTTCCTACAAGAGGGGCCTCTGGGATCCCAGGCAGAGAAAGGGTATTGGAGGTCATTGCCTGGCTGGCTCTTGGGAAACAAAACAGCCAAACTGGATCATCCACTATGCTGCGGAGCCCAAGCCGAGGGGGTGCTGAGCAGCACACGGTGCCAAGGCTCTGAGGAGACAGACAGGCAACCACGTGGGAAGTCACCCAGTAGTGGGGATCGGTTATCTAACTGTGAAGTTAATTCAGCTAAACAAATGAGCGCCACCCACCAGCCCTCAGAACCCAGGCCTGGAAAGAAACTGTGCCTGTGGGATCCTCTGATCCTGTTATTTTGGGGAGGCTAAGGAGGGCATTCTCCTGGCAGCACCTGTGGCTCATGGCCCCCAGGTGTGCTTGGGCCAGGATGCTGGGAAGCTGGAGCACCTGCTGGCCACCATTCAGCATCAGGGAGCCACCTGGAATGCAGCCCAAAGTCACTCTTCCCCAAAAAACACAGCTCTGGAGCCGTGCGATGTGGCTGAAAAGGGCCATGAGATTACAGGAGCCACAGTGAGGGTCTGGGGCTGGGGTGGCTGACCCTGCACAGAGCTCACATCTGGGCCTCTCCTCAATGCCAGACTTGCCCAGGCTCAGCAGGTAGCAATGGGCCACCTCCCAGGAGGCCCAGTAGTTACTGCAAGAGAACCTCGAAACACCCAGGCCGACAGAGGCAGCTTTCCTCTTGACATCAAATGCCAGGGAAGCCAGAAACAGCCCCAACCCCTTGACGCACTCCCAGCAGCAGCAGCAGCAGCAGGGAATGGGGTAGTGTGCAGAGCTGAAAGGGACATCTCCTCCTCTTTCCTACCTCCAGGTAGTGCAGGCACAAGAGGATGGGTGGAAACGTCCTATTGGCTCACAGAGGAGTAAGGGAACCAGAGTAACACACCCGAGGGGCAGACAGGTGACCAGGGGGCCTGTGGCCTCACTCGCATCCTGGCTTAGCTACTTAGTGGCTGTGTGACTGTGGGCAAGACACTCAACCTCTCTGAGTCGCAGTTTCCTCATCTGTAAAAGGGAGATCATCTCTGACCCCAGAGTTGACATGAGATCTCAGAAGCACGGTTCCTTTCTCCCTTTGAGAACTTGACACTCCATGGCATGTACCAAACTAAGAGATGGGCAGAAGAGAAAAGCTCAGGCCCCACCCCGGCTGCAAATTCTAAGAGGAAGTAGCCTGGAGCTCCTGCCCCCCTTTCCTGGCTAGTGACGTCAGGGGAGCTTGCCCGTCACCTCCAACACAGATGGCGGCATGCAGGCAGGTCACCACCCCTCACTTTCATAAAGTCCCTCTCAGGCTGTGAAACCTTTTCAGTCTCAACACCCAGTGGAGGGGCCACGGACCCTGCATCATTGCCCTCAGAGAGCCCGGGCACCCAGGGAAGCAAAAGGGTGTCCCCAAATCAGTACACTGTTAGCAGTGAGGGAGAGCGGAACCTGACGGGGCTTCGCCCATCCGGCATCTTTCTTTCTGCATCAAGGACTGCAAACCCATTGGGCAGTGCCAGAGGATACTGAGCAGCATGTCCAGGCTTGGAGTGCCCAACTGATTAGCAGCATCTGCCCCAGGAATGGCAGGGGCTGGGGCACAGCACAGGCATCTGTCTATCATCTTGGCTTAGCCACCATCAAGCCACCTCCCTTAACATGCCTCGGATAGAAAGCTCTGAATGAAGGGGTGCTGGTCAGACTCACAGTGACTTTTCTAGAGTCATTAGTCCTCCATCTTGCTTTGCAGTTGAGGCACCGAGGTGACCCCTCCTCTATGAGCAAATGCCCCTCCACCAGGGTGAGGTGCTGGGGAGGATGCAGATCCAGGCCCTTGCCTTTGTGAAGCACCCAGCCCTTCTTTTTTTTTGAGACAGAGTCTCGCTCTGTTGCCCAGGCTGGAGTGCAGTGGCACGATCTTGGCTCACTGCAACCTCTGCCTCCCAGGTTCATGAGATTCTCCTTCCTCAGCCTCCCGAGCAGCTGGGACTGCAGGTGCCCACCACCACGCCCAGCTAATTTTTTTGTATTTTTAGTAGAGATGGGGTTTTAACCGTGTTAGTTTGGATGGTCTCGAACTCCGAACCTTGTGATCCACCTGCCTCAGCATCCCAAAGCACTGGGATTACAGAGGTGAGCCACTGTGCCCAGCCGCACCCAGCCCTTTTTAAATTACACTTCCTCCTTGGTGGTCCTGAGATGTGGCCATGGGTAAGCATGGAAGTCAGCCCCATGGTGACGGATGCAGGAACGAGGGCCTGGGTGCCAACTTCTAGGCAACATGGCATTTTTCTCAGTTCCCCAAAGCAGTGGATTCCAATGATCCGAGCGCTGAGAAGGCCCTTCCTTTTCTCTAGGGATGCTAAATGGCAGCTGGAGTTGCAGGGAGCAGACTTGGCACAGGGGAAGCCATGGGAAAAAGGACGCCCACGGCCACCTCCCAGGAGGTCAGAGCGCTCATAAGAGAACAGTCGGTAGAAAAGAAAGAGCAGGCGTCTCAGGAGGGTAGGGCGAGCCTGGCAGGAACCCACCCAGCACACGGAGGCTTAGGAGAAGCAAACCCAACATCCACTTAGATCTGTGTGGACTGCCCACAGGTTTGTCACAGGTTTTCTCTCCTTCTGTGGCCCTGAGCCAGGGAAGAGAACCAGGGGCAGGGCCCGGTTGTTGCTCCAAGAAGCAAGATCTGATCCCCCACCACTCCCAGGTCCCAGCCACGGGATGATCAGCTGGGGAATAACTGCACTGCTCAACGCCTGCCCTGGGAGGTGCCACGGACCCACTTCCGCCTTCAAAGGGCTGAGATTGCCAAGGAGTCAACATGGATGGCCAGGACTGCCACTAAATCATACCCATTTGGGAGCCCAGGTGCCTAATGAGGTGGGGTCATGTTCCCATCCTGCTGCAAAGACAAGGAATAGGCCCAGCTGGGAGAAGCTCTAGGCCACCCAGTGGGTCGGTCCTCACGATGCTGGCATGGGACCCTGAGTCTGCCCAGCTCCAGGGCTTGGACAAGCTGGAGGGTGGAATGGAGCGGACAGCTCCTTCCTCCTCCATGCCCTTCCTGGGCCAGGCCCACCAGGAGAAACTTGACCAAGTCCCTCACTCCAGGTCAACTCTGATTAGACTCTGGGTACTCAGAGTACCATTCCCAAAGTGGTGTGCGGCAGAGGGGGCTGACAGCTGCCTGCCTGATGGCCCAGGGCAGGAGGAGCAAGCCCCATGTGCTGGGCAGGTCCACCCTATGGGGGCCCTGAGGACAGGGCCTGTGTCCTTGGCACACTGCCAACCACATGGCACACGAACAAGAAGAAAGAGTAGGAGACGGTCTTTTTTTTTTTTTTTTTTGAGATGGAGTTTCACTCTGTCACCCAGGCTAGAGTGCAGTGGTGAGATCTCGGCTCGTTGCAAACTCCGCCTCCTGGATTCAAGCGATTCACCTGCCTCAGCCTCTCGAGCAGCTGGGATTACAGGCACCTGCCACTGTGCCTGGCTAATTTTTGTATTTTTAGTAGAGACGGGGTTTCACCATGTTGGCCAGCCTGGTCTCGAATTCTTTTTTTTTTTTTTTTTTGAGACGGAGTCTCGCTCTGTCGCCCAGGCTGGAGTGCAGTGGCGCGATCTCGGCTCACTGCAAGCTCCGCCTCCCGGGTTCACGCCATTCTCCTGCCTCAGCCTCCCGAGTAGCTGGGACTACAGGCGCCCACAACCGCGCCCGGCTAATTTTTTGCATTTTTAGTAGAGACGGGGTTTCACCGTGGTCTCGATCTCCTGACCTTGTGATCCGCCCGCCTCAGCCTCCCAAAGTGCTGGGATTACAGGCGTGAGCCACCGCGCCCGGCCTCGAATTCTTGATCTCATGATCCACCTGCCTAGGCCTCCCAAAGTGCTGGGATTACAGGCATAAGCCATGGTGCCCAGCCATGAGGTGGTTCTCAGAGGCAACTACAGTCAGGTTCATGCCCATTCTGTGTCCTGCCTGGGCCAGACAGCTCCTGTCCCTGCATGAGACCCCTGACACCATGGGTCAGCTCCCCTCACCTCAGCGCTACTTCTGACAAAAGCTGCTCCCCCTGGACACCGGCTCCCCAGCTTGCACGCCTCGGCCATTCTCAGTAGCTGCTACCTGCCTGGGAATGAAACAGCCTCACTATGTGCCAGGCCCCGCCCAGGAAGGCTCAGAGCGGCACGGGCACAGGCCATCCCTGCTCATCGATGACGTGCACACAGAATACGTCAGTGACAGGGGGAACGGGAAGGAGAGCCTTCCCAGAGGAAGACATGAAGTGCTTCATCCAGTCTCACATCACAGACACAAACCACGAATCCCCCTTTCTAATCCTTAAACCCGACGTTAACTGTTTTTTAATGAAAGCACTCAGGAGGAAGTAGGAGGATTCCAGGCAGACAAAATGCCATCCTCCTACTCACCTCCTTCGCACAGGTCTCCTTGGCTGGGGAGCCTGAGCTGGCAAGAGTGTGGGGGATTAAAAAAAGGGGTCCCTGGACATAACCCACAATGACAGAAAAGAAAAGAGGTGGCTGAGTGAGGCATGGTGACGGCTGCTGCCTGGAGAGTATGGTGCATGTGGGGTCACCCCTGCAACTGCACCCAGACACCTTCCACACGGGACTGAGTGTGCTGCCAAACTCACCAATCCCAAAAGGCAAGGTCTGCTGAGGACCAGGAGGGGCTCCAGGCCTCAGATCGAGGGTACCCTGCATGCCCCCAGCTCAGCAGGCTGGGCGGACCCAAGCCATCCCCTGCCACGCTCACCTCTCCCTTCTTCACCGTCATGGACTGCCGTCGGGGTGTGATCTCCTCGTTGATGCTGGACAGGAAGTTCTGTGAGATGCGGAGGGCATCCTGCAGCAAGGGGTGGTCGGGGTGGCTGGCAGGAGTATGCTTCAGCAAGTCCTGCCCCAGGAAGAAAGATTCGAGTTAGACACAGAGGAGCACTGACACCTGCCACTGTGTGCAAAGTGCAGACACAAAATGCAGACGGAGCCCAGAGCACCAGCTCCCTCAGTGTCACCACTGCCTCTCTCACATGGGCCTGGGCTTTGTGGACAGAGCTTGTGTGAGCACCGTTCTGGAAGCAGGTCCTAGATGTGTTCCAGCAAACCCACGCTGCATGCACACGGCCAAGAGGGGCTCCTCTTGGATCTAGGGCAGGGTTTCTCAACCTCAGCACTGCTGACATTTTGCGTGGAGTAATTCTTTGTTGTGGGGCAAGAGAGAGCTGTCATTTGCATTACAGAATGTCCAACACCATCCCAGGCCTCTACCCATTAGAGGCCAGTAGCACCCCCTTGGCTGCAGCAATGACAACCAAAAAAGGTCTCAGAACATTGTTGCTGTGTGTGTCTGAGAGGGCAGTTTTGGTCCCAGTCTGGAGGGGCGCTGTGACTCACATGGAGGACCAGCGTGCTCCTTGTCACACGGTCCACAGGCTTGTAGAGTAGAGCTGTGGAGAGAGAGGGGTGGTGAGAGAGGCTGCACATGGAGAAGCACACCAGCTGCCTGACCACCCTCGGTGCAAGGGTGAGTGGGGAGGGGGCTGCCCCACCCTCCACAGGCCCCATCTCCCCTGTGCGCAGTGACCAGGGCAAGGCTAGAGCACCCACCTGGAACGCTTTAAGTCCAGGACATTTACTGCATGCAGATTCCAGAGCAGCTGTCAGACCAAAGCCTGCACGGCTGGCTCGGTGACAAGGTGACAACAGCTAAAAAGGCTCAGCACTGCCGCTCCTCTAGCCTGAGGTCAGGGAGCCCACCCTGGCAAGGTTGGGCTGGGGAGGGCCCCAATTCTGGAGGGAGACCTGCTCCCCGGCCCAGAGGGTAAGCTGAACAAACCGCTTAGCTGCTCTTACCATCAATCCCGAGACATTTCAGACGCCTGACTCTGAGACAGGCAGAAACCTACTCAGATGCCGACACAACTCTTGGTTTGACAGGTTCTCTGGCGACCTGCCTGCCCGAGGATACCCGAAATCCAGAGGCACGTGAGCCCCACTGCAGTGGGAGCAGCTCCCTGGCATGGCAGGAGCCCTGGCCAGCCTCAGCCACCTGTGCTTCTCCATGATGACAGTGAGCGTGGCCAATCCCAGGCACGGATGCTTACGTGTGTTCTGAGACATGCCTCCCACAACCAGCATAAGGCACACATCGCTATTTTCATTTTGCAGATGGGGAAACTGAGGTTTGGGGCAAAAAGCTCCAGGGCCTGCTGTTCTCTGCAAGTGTAACTATTCACAACACCCTCACAACTAAAGTAAGAAGTGACTGATAATTCCTGATACCACTTTCCCAGCAACTCTGGACTCAATCCCTGCCCAGCCACGTAGAGCCTGTGCTCTGTACAGATTACTTTATGACTAAACTTGTCATCGGCAAAAACAAAATAAAATCCTCTTTACAGCCGGGTGCGGCAGCTCATGCCTGTAATCCCAGCACTTTGGGAGGCCAAGGCACTTGAGGTCAGGAGTTCAAGACCAACCTGACCAATATGGGGGAAACCTCATCTCTATTAAAAATACAAAAATTAGCTGGCCGTGGTGGTGTGTGCCTGTAATCCCAGCTACTTGGGAGGCTGAAGCAGGAGGATCACTTGAACCCGGGAGGCGGAGGTTGCAGTGAACCGAAACTCTGCCTTAAAAAAAAAAAAAAAAAAAATCCTCCTTACAAGGCCACTGGGGTCAACATGATGACATTTAAGTCAATTTAAGCAGCACCTTGTTGCTACTCTTGGTGGAGAACTGGTACTGATGGTATCCTTCCCTGCCCTCCCTGAATTGTTCTTTCCTCATCCCCACTCTATTTGAAGAGCAGAACAGGGAAGGCGCCAAGGGGTGACCCAACTGGGCACTGTGTCTGCTTTTCCACGACGCCCCCTCTGCCAGCAGCAGCCTCCCTGACAAGGGCACACAGAGACCTCAGCATGCAGAACTCACTTTCTAGGGAGTTCTTGGTCGTTGGATCCTTGGCATCTTTGTTGCTTCTGGCTCTCAGGTTCTGCAGAGAGAAAAGCGCATGTTCGCACAGATGACAGAGCAGCTTTGATGCAGAACGTTCCCCCTTTGGCAGCAGTTTCAGCTTTCCCTCCTCACTGCAACGAACCCCAGGCGCATTCTGAGCCGAGACTGAAATCACAGGGTGTGCAGGGACACACGAGCAAGCCGAGCACGCAGGATGCCCTGGATGCTGCGGTCTACCTGGGACAAGGCTTCTCTGCCAGGGCACCGTTGACATTTTGGGCTACAAATTCTCTAAGCAGCTTTCCTGGGCACCATAGGGTGCTGAGAAGCTGCCCTGGCCTCTACCTATAGGTACAGGAGCATGCCTGCCTTCCTGCTGTTGTGACATCCAAAAATGTCTCCAGGCATTGCCAAGTGTCCCTTGTGAACAAGATCATGCCTGGCTGAGATCCTCTGACACAGAGAATCCTGTAAATGGAGGCCAACAGGAGCACGCTCCTAAACACACGTCACTGTTTTCTTGGGGGCAATTAGACAGCATGCAGGGGGCTGGTGGTTCAGAAGAGCACTCATATTTGGAGACGGCCAGGGCAGGCCCACCACTGCAGACTGACACTGGATTATAACTCCACCTGCCCCCTCCGGATTTGCAAGTGTACTTACTAAAAAATGAGGTGCTAAGATTCCCAGGGCAAAAGCAGGGCTTGTAAGTGAACAGCCTAGGCTGTTTTGATACAACTGCGTTGAAAGCATCACTAGAGAAATGTAGAATAAAAGATCCTGTGTGCCTAAAATCCTCTGGGAAGGAGCTGAGATTAATTTCTGGTACTAAGCTTCTGAACAAAAGCATAAACAGCAGAGACGGAAGAGGTTCTGAGGTTGCTCTGCCAACCTCTTGTGCTGCAGGAAACATCTCAAGACCAAAAGCCAGTGTTTTCCAGCTCACTGGGGCCTAACGCTGCCATGCACTTTGGTACCTTTCCTGAGAGTTTAACAGCCCTCGCAGTGATTTTTCCTCTGTACATCTGACTCAGCAGTTCCCAAAGGGTGTGAGGGGGTGGGAGAGCCACACAAAAGACTGCAAAAACCAGGTGCTGGGCTCACACGAGCCTGGGAGGCGGCCCACGTATCCGTGGACAGTGCTATGCTTGGGAGTTATCTAGGAGCTCCAGGAACACCTGCCTCAAGAAAACTTATGAGTTTGGTTTAACCCTGTATTTCCCAAACTGGCCTGACTCCCAAAGCCCTTTTCATGTAATTCCTATTACCCACTGTCTGGAGAGCTGGTGTTCCATGGAACCAGATCTAATAATGCTGCCCATCTCTCAGGACTGTCCCAGGAGAAGATGGACACTACTCCACTCCTTCCCGTACTTGAGGGTGATCCTCGAACTCCCATGCCTGAGCACTGACCCCCCACACCTCCACAGGGCTTGCTGCTTTCTCTTCCTTGAGTTTGACTCTGCTGTCTTTGGGTGGCTCCAATTCTTCTGGGTCTTTTTTGAAACACCGAGAACCAAAGTGCAAGTCGCCCTGACGGTGCAGGTGCCACAAACCTTCACGGTGGGTTGGTTTGCAGCTGGTCCTGAGCCCCATCCCACTCCCCGCATTTCAGCCACAGCTCAGAATCCACCGGTGCATGGTTGGTGGGACCACCTAATCCCCAGGTGGCGTCCCATGGTGTTTCCTCCCTCCTCTGCAGAAACCTGTCCAGGTGAACTTAAACTTGTCCACCTAACTGTAACCTGCTCTTAAAAAATCAGGTCCCTGATTTGTCAGGGTCACTTGAAATTCGGTGCCATCATTCCAGCTGTTGGGGAGGAGGGTTGCTAGTTTAATGAAAAAGGAAAAGAGTCACGCCTGTAATCCCAGCACTTTGGGAGGCCGAGACGGGCGGATCACGAGGTCAGGAGATCGAGACCATCCTGGCTAACACGGTGAAACCCCGTCTCTACTAAAAAATACAAAAAACTAGCTGGGCGAGGTGGCGGGCGCCTATAGTCCCAGCTACTCGGGAGGCTGAGGCAGGAGAATGGCGTGAACCTGGGAGGCGGAGCTTGAAGTGAGCCGAGATCCGGCCACTGCACTCCAGCCTGGGTGACAGAGCGAGACTCCGTCTCAAAAAAAAAAAAAAAAAAAAAGAAAAAGGAAAAGAGAATAGATTGAATGGTCCAGAGGGAGTCTGGCAGTGGGGAGGGAGCTGCAGCCCCAGATGCATGCAGAGCCTGTTACCAGCAGCACCTGGCGGAGCAGGGTGCCCCACAGACTCCGGAGGAACAGCGCGGCAGGTACTGTCACCACCGGAGACATCAGAGCGAAGCCCGTGATGCTCCATCCTGCAATAAACAATAAGACGGCACAAAGCCTCAGGAACAAAGCCTAGGGGTGACAGCTGAGGGTGTGTCCCAGCAAGGGTGACCGCATTCACTCCCTATTTCTAGTGCGCATGTCTCTTTCTAACCCTGCGGTTCTCACCTGGAGGGCTTTCTCCTCAGAACGCTTGCTGGGTGGGGAAAAGCCAAGCCAGAAGGCAAAGCTACAGCGAGATGGGGGGCTCATGAAGAAGCAAGGGACCCCGAAGAGGAAAACGTTGCCGAGTGGCCACCAGGCAGACAGGCTGGGGAAGGGCAGGAAGAACCCCAGTCTGGAGAGTGCAGACCCAGGGGTGGGGCTGGGTTCTGCCTCAACGGCCCATTCATGGTCTCTGTTTCTGAATGAGTCTTTCGAGGCCCTGGGTGCTAACACTGTATGGTTTGAGGTTTCAGCTTCCTGGGGCTAAATGCAGGCAGGGAGTCAGCAGCCTCTCAGACCCAGGGCCTGGGGTAGTGCAGCTCCAACCTGTCGCTTTGCTCCTGCATGTGGGTCTACAAAGCACAGGTGACATGAGCCCTCGCCCCATGGCATTAGCCCCTCAATGCTTCCTCAATGCTCTCAAGGTCTGGCAGGCTAGAAAAGGAAAAGTGGGACACCTCCAGGCTTGCCTCCAGTGCCAGGTACAAAGTCAGCCTCAGGACTCCTGTGGTGAGAGCTGTTAACGGGCAGAACTACAGACACCCCTCACTGCAGACAGACAGTGCAGTGTCCCTGGAACCCGGCCAACCCCCAGAATCAGGCCCTCGCCCCTGGGGAGGCCGGACACCCTGTGGGCTGCTCCTTCTGTCTGGGCACAACAGCATCCCCAGCATAGGGCTGACGCAATGAACCCAACAGAATCTGGAAACACCTGTGGTTCACGACCAGATCTTGACCTGGTGCACTCTGTTCTCCTGGGGAGGTGGAGGGTACAGGTGGGAGTCAGCGGTGCACCTGTCTGAAGAGCATCAAGGCATTACCTCAGAGATTTCTGCAAACTGAGCATTGGCCTGACAGCACTTCTCAGCCATTTCCATGGCAACTCCGTAGTTGTCCACAAAGGCCCGGTACACACCCAGCTGGCTGGCCTGAGGGGGAGGAAGGAAGAGAGAGTGGGACAGGTGCTGCTGCTCCCCCGCCTTTCGGAAGAGCAGGCTCCTGTGCACAGCTCTGCAGAAACTCCAGGGGCAGCAGACGGCTCACAGGCTGCAGAGGCCTCGGCGCTTCCATGCTGCTCCCTCCCACCTGCTCCCCTCCCCACGCACCCAGCACACTTCCCGCTCCCAAAATGACATGCTGAGAAGTGACTCACAGCACCAGGCAGGTAACAGTTCCCTTCCAGAGCTACTTATTCCTCCCACCCCATTCGCTGAAATGGTGCTATGAGCGGCAGCTGAAGTTCAAGATTGTCAGTGAATCTGGACAAGTGTCTGCACGCAGCACCTTCTCATTCTGGCTGCAGGAGTGTACCCTGGACACAGAGGTCACCCCCCATCCCACCCATGGTGTTCCACGCCATGTCCAGTCCCTTCAGACACATAAGAAATGCCAAGTCCGGCTGCTTTTGCAGAGGAGAGCCTCCTGCTGCACAGACACGAGCCCATCCTGGGCCTGGTGAGGGTGCTCAGGTGTCATGCTGCACACCTGGCGGGGGGAGACTGGCTGTAAGGCGAGAGGTGTTCTGTTTGTTCTTTATTAAACCAATGGCAATAAGAGCGCTCCTCACTGCTCAGACATGCACTCAATTCAGCAACAATTTGCCTTGTGTGTGAGTGCGGCAGACACCTCCATCTCTGGGCCCCACAACACCTTTATGGGCAGCGAGGGAAAAACCAGCAAACCCAGGCCTGGGGAGTGTAAGGGCAGACCCAGGGGACACACTGGTTAGGGTTGGAGACTCCCACTGTAGTTGACTGCAAGCTGGAAGCCCAAGGCATTCACGGCTCCTGGCATTTGTTTTGTGTCAAACCTACATTTTATTTCCATGTGCATTTGCATCTATATTGAATTTTATGTTTCTACAGATGACAATCCCAGATGCTGGATAAACCAGGCACCCTTGGCACTGTCTGATATTCTGGCCCTGCTTCCTACAGGGGCTGCAAGAAGGGGCTTAGAGTGTATGAGGAAAGGGTAGCAGCCGGAAGACACCTGCCAGGCCCCTGCCATGCTGACCACCCGGAGGAGTCCTTGCGTCCTCCAATTCTAGGTTCTTCCTCATCCGTGCAGTGATGAGGCCCAGAGCTCTTCCTTCTTTCCCTCCTCTGCAAGTCACTGAGTGCCTCCCAGTCAAACTAAGGGCCTGCTTTAGGCCTTGTCACCACAGTGGTAAACAATTCAGACACAGCGCTGCCCTCCAAAGCTGGTGTTCTAACAGGAGAGCACTTATAAACACATGCATGAACACACACAAGGAATGTAATGGCAGATGGTTACAAGCGGGACAGGGGCTGAGAGCGACGAGGCTGCTTTCAAGAATGTGGTCAGGACCAGGACAGCCTCTCAGAAGAGCTGACAGCTGAGCAGGGTCTCGGGGGTCTTGGGAGGAGGACTCCTTTCAAGACTTTTCCTCCCTCCTGCTCCAGGAGCTCACATCTTCCAGGTGGCTTGTGAGAAGTTCTAAGCAATTCCTTCCCACATTTTTCGCTAATCAAAAACGTGCCTCTGGATCTGATGCACTGAGAAGCACACAGCCTCGCTGCTGTGGTACTGTTACACAGAACGTGAAGCTATTCCTGAGGAAACTGGCAAACCCGAGCAGGTCTGTGCCCTTCAAAAAATGTCAAGGTTGGCTGGGCATGGCAGCTCATGCCTGTAATCCTAGCACTTTGGGAGGCCGAGGCAGGCAGATCACTTGAGGTCAGGAGTTCAAGAACAGCCTGGCCAACATGGCAATACCCTGTTTCTACTGAAAATACCAAAATTGGCCAGGCGTAATTGCAGATGCCTATAATCCCGGCCACTTGGGAGGCTGAGGCAGGAGAATCGTGTGAACCTGGGAGGTGGAGGTTGCAGGGACCCGAGATCGCACCACTGCACTCCAGTCTGGGTGATACAGCGAGACTCCATCTCCAAAAGAAGAAGAAAAAAAAAAGGCAGGGTGCAGTGGCTCACACCTGTAATCCCAGCACTTTGGGAGGCTGAGGCAGGCAGATCACCTGAGGTCAGGAGTTCAAGACCAGCCTGGTCAACATGGTGAAACCTCGTCTCTACTAAAAACACACAAAAAATTAGCTGGGCGTGGTGGTGCACGCCTGTAGTCCCAGCTACTGGGGAGGCTGAGGCAGGAGAATCGCCTGAACCCAGGAGGCAGAGGTTGCAGTGAGCCAAGATTGCGCCACTGCACTCCAGCTTGGGTGACAGAGATAGAGAGGGAGACTCTATCTCAAGGAAAAAAAAAAAAAAAAAAAAGTCAAGGTCATGGAAGACAAGCAAAGTCTAAGGAACTGGTACAGATTGAAGGAGACTAGAGAGATGTGACAACCAAGTACATAACATGATCTTAAACCGGGGCCTGAATCAGGGAATGAAAACAGCTGTGAAGAATGCAACTGTTAACTTGGGGGAAATTTATATGAACTACATATTAAATAATAGTATCTTATGAATGTGAAATTTCCTGAATTTGACAAATTGTACTGTGGGTTATAGGAGAGAATATCCTTGTTCTTAGCAAATATACAATGAAGTATTCAGGGGGCAAAACATCTTGTGCTTGTGTGTGTGTGTGTATGTGCATGTGCGTCTGTGTATGCACAGAAAGAGATAAAGCAAATGTGGCAAAAAGTTACAATCAGTGTATCTGGGTGAAGGCTATACTAAAGCTCTTTGCCCCATTCTTACAGCTCTCCTGTAAGTTTGAAATAATTAGAAAAATAAAAACTCTTGAGTTGTGAAAACTTCAGCCAGAAACATAACCCAGAGCAGGGAAGTCAGCCCGCACAGCCCCACAGGAGGAGGTGGCAGGAGCCGCATTTGAGTCTGGCTTTCTGAACCACTGGACGAGGATCACGAGTTTCTGGGCTTGGAAGAGGCACCGGAGCTGGGCAGGGCACTGCGAGCTCCTTTGGTTCTAAGACTTGTCCAACTGGGAAGCCTGACGGAGCGATGCTGGGCCAACCCTACTGAGCTGGTCATGGGGACAAGGGCAGGCACTGGGCCTATCTGTCCTTGGGGAGTCCCCAGCACCCAGCCCAGGTTGAACACACATGAGTACTCAGCTCATGGTTTTGGGGAACAACTTCCCACTGCAACCCCAGCCTCTCCCCCGAGTCTTCCGGCTGCATCATCTGACACATGAAGGTACCTCAAGGCCTCCAGGGAAGCCAGCGGAAACTTTCCAAAGTTAAATTCCAGTGTTCCTGAGATATTAAAATTTTAAAAAAGTCTCTGAGTGATTTCCGAATATTATTTGGGGAAGAGCTCTGGATGTGTGTTTTTTTTCCCCAACACCACGATTCTCCGTTTCTCAGGAGGGCGGCAGGCCAAGTCACGTCCGCTAGGTGTTTGCTTTTTTTTTTTTCTGTGAACAATTGAACAATCAAGCTTTATTTTTACAAAAATGAAAACTGTAGCATGTCTCAACAGCCAGACTGAGTCAGGGCTGGCTCAGAACTCACTCAGAACTGCTGGGTTCCCTTTGCCCTTTCTTGGTTTCAAGGCAAAACCAGGCCACGGTGCCCCAGTAATGAACCCCTGGCCCCGAGAGGTTAATCAAGGGTGAGGTCTGGCTGGTGCCAGCCAGCTACTGGCAGCCTCATCCTTCTTTCCAGGAAGGGGCAGAAAGGAACCATCTGGGAAGGTGGCAGCATCTCACCTCACTCCGTAGGCTATCGTGGCTCTAACAAGGGATGTAGGATGGGCCTCTCCAGGCCAGATCCTTGCTCTGGCCAAACAGGGTCGCAAAGCCCGGGTTCAGCCTCACTCCTCTAAAGCAGCAGGTCCTGCCTCTCCAACAGGTTCCTGGGAGGGACTGCATCTCTGGTAAGCCCCAAAGCCCCAGGATTCAGAAGCCTCTAGTGTAAGGTGCCTGAGCACCGGGGTCACAGGCCCAGGAGGACAGTGGGGCAGTGGGGAGGAGCTATCACTGCACCCTCCAGGCAAGAGAGGTCCCTGACTCGCTGGTCTCCTTGGCCCACAGGCAGGGGTGGCCCTGACAGTCATGGGTTTTGAAAATCCAGGACGTGGAGGTCATAAGACAGTGCAGCATAGAGATGCTTGGTGGTGAGACGCAGGCAGTACACAGGGCTGCTGGAGGGGGTTGATGTCAGCGGGAAGGTGTGCAGGCAGCCGCAGGCCCTTTGACACCGGTCTCACAGCCGTACAACACTGTAGTAGGAGGAACCTGTGGCCAGCAAGTGGTTGCCATCTGTCTGCAGACAGTACAGGGTGCTGCTGTGGGGCTCCTCCCACTCCATGACACCTTTCCGGACACTGGTGCAGAGGTCCCAGTAGCGAACGTAGGTGTCATAGCCACAGGACAGCAGTGTGAAAGGGGACTCATACATGACATCCAGCACCCCAGCCCCTGGGAGAAAGTCACTGCCCAAGTATGTCATCAGCTGCCCACTGTTGAGGTCCCAGACTCTCAGGGGTGAGAAGTGCCCGCAACAAGCCGTCCCTGTCACAAAAGAGCTGAGTAATGGGCTGATAGCAATGGACCAGACTCAGTCTTCAATCTGGATGGTGTGTAAACACTGCTCCAGCCGGCCTGAGGCCAAAGGCCACACCTTGGCCATCCCGTCCCTGGAGCCACTCACAGTGATGCCCCCTTTGCAATCCACATAGTTCACCTCCTGTCCATGAGCCGAGTACTTGACAGTGAAGGTGCTGTGAATCTTACCAACGCCAATCTTCCCATCTCCTCCTGCACTGACAATATGCAAGCTGGCCAGCACAAAGTGGCAAATGTCCTCATCATGCCCAGCAAAGACTCCCAGAGCAGGTCGCAGCCGGTGAAGGGCCGTAGCCAGCGGCACACCTGGGCCAGGCAGCTGAGGGCCCGCATGTCCAGGTGAGAGCAGGTGAGCAGCAGCAGCACCTCCGGCAGGCGCCAGAGCGTGGACCCTGCAGCCAGGCAGGCGGCAGACTCCCGAGCTGCCGCCGCCTCCTCCTCCCTGGCTGCCACGGCCATGGCCGCCCCTGTCCCAGAGATGTAGGCCCAAGCCTGACCCCCTCGTCCTTGTGCTCTTCTCAGCCTGGCGCCCTCCCAATGCCTAGCCCTGACTCTCCATTCCTCCTTCTTCCCATACTCTTCCATGTGCCTCCTTCCCGGCCCCTGAGCTCCCCTCATGTCTTTTGATGATGCCTCTTGCCCCTTCCTCCATGCTTCCGCCTCCCTGTTTCCTCTCTTGGGCATGCCCTTGCTCCTGCCTCAACCCCCAGCCCCACTGTCTTCTTCGCCGTCTGCGGTCCGGGCTTCCCTTCCGCCCCGCTTCCTCTTCCTCCTTGCCCCTCTCGCTCGCTTTTCCCTTCCTCTTCCCCTTCCTTCACTTCCCCCTCACCACTCTCCCTTCCTGCAGCTTCCTTGCCTCTACGCCCCCCGCCCTCGCCCAGGCCACCGTTGGTGGGGGCGGGGGGGTTCCTGACGCAGAGCCCAGCCTGAGCCACCACCCTCCACTAGGTTTAAAACTGCTGACACACACAGGGAGAAATTGGGGGGGGGGGCCTTCAAAGATGGAGGGGGCAGCATATATCAAAATACAGCCTCCTGCTCTCTGGCCATGGCGGGAAGAGCCCCAGGAAGCAAGAACTGGAACAAAGTAAGTGCCTTGTGTGTTCCTCAAGCCTTAGCTCTGGCTTGGAGTTTGGGGGTTCTGCAGCACAGGGTGGCAGAGGGAGGGGTCCCCCTACGGGAAAGCCACACCTCAGAGCAGAAAACTCAGTCCCCAGCATCAGCCAAGGGGAGGCCCAAGGCCAGAGCTGGGTGTCTCAGCAGTCCAGAAGTGCTGGGGGCAGGGCTTGTAAGGAATCACATGCTCTTCACGCTTAGAGGGGGCCTGGCCTCCGGCCACACCTGCCCCTAGAGGACTTGTTTCCCAGTGGAGGAAGCCTGCTTCAGGGAAAGTGTGTGCACACAGGGTGTGGCGGCGCGCACCTGTAGTCCCAGCCATGCTGAAGGCTGAGGCCGGAGGATGGCTTCAGTCAGGAGTTCTGGGCTGCAGTGCACTACATACTAAGTTTGGCATCGATATGGTGACCTCCCAGGAATCGGGAACCACCAGTTTGCCTAAGGAGTGAAACAGCCAAGATTGGAAACGAAGGAGGTCAAAACTCCCATGCTGATGAGCAGTGGAATCATGCCTGTGAAGAGCCACTGCACTCCAGCCTGGACAACGCAGGGAGTCCCCAGCCCTTTCTAAAAATACCTATCTAAATAAATATAAATTAAAAAACAAACCAAAGAACAAACAAACAAAAAAGGCTGGGCATGGTGGCTCACGCCTGTAATCTCAGTACTTTGGGAGGCCAAGTCGGGTGGATCATTTGAGGCTGGGAGTTCGAGACCAGACTGGCCAACATAGCAAAACCCTGTCTCTACTAAAAACACAAAACATTAGCTGGATGTGGTGGTACATGCCTGTAGTCCCAGCACCGGCCCTGGGTCACTCACCAGCTTCTGGAAGAGGTCGCCCACCCGCTGCTGGTGGCTCCACTGCTGCACGCGGGGAAAGAGCCCATCATAGAACTCCTTGTGGATCTCATAGAGCTCAGGCACTTTGAAGAAGATGGTCTCAATCTGCTGACTCGTCAGTACCGGCTGAGAGGTGGTGGCAGCAGCTTTCAAAGGCTTCATGGGCTGAAAGAGGACACAGGTGAGGTAGCACAGGTGAGAGGGGCTGCCATCTGTCAGGTGCATTGTATGACAGTAGACAGTCATGGTTACCTGACATATGCACTTTTATTTTTAAATTACATAACAAATACAATTTTAAAACCAGCTTGGTTTGGCAACTCAGTCTTCCACTGGTATCCACTCCAGGGATGGCGAGCTGCACCCAGGCTCTGACAGCTGACCTAGGACTTAAGGGCAAAGAGGCTCCCCAACCCTGTCATCCTCCCCCTTCCCGCCCTGCTCAGCTCCCTAAACCCTCCTCACCAGCAGCAGTGCCTCCAGGTGGCTCAGGTAAGTCTCCTCACTAGCCAGGATTCCAGACAGGACCCATTTTCTCATCTCCAGGCCCTTTTCCAAGTCCAGCTCACTCTGCAGGAGAAACAGACAGAAGTCAGCCTGGAAGGGCGGTAGGGGGATGCTTGCATCAGGGCCCTCTGAGAGAGGAGGGCCAGCTTGTTGACCTCTGGACAAACCCCTGCCCCTACGAAGGCTCCACATGGAATTAGAGAGGCAGGGGACCCTCCGCACATACTAAGCCACATGCTCGTGGTCGCTGAGAATCCCAGGGGTTCATCTGGCAACACCCAGGGCCACCCTTAGTCTTGCCAGACCACGAAACAGAGTTTGGTGTGGAGCAGGCCGGGCCAGGCCTCGCTCCACACCTTCTGCCTGCAACCCAAGAGCAGCTGCCTCACACAGTCGAGGAAGGAGGAGGCGGCTCTGAGCCGAGGGGGCGTCGGAACCCACAGCATGGCCACCTGGCTCCTGCTGCAGCCAAGCTCCACTCCCCACTGCTCACCTGGGGCCCTCCTCACCTGGATTCTCTGACTGCTGCTGCCACGTGACCGACCCTTCGACTGACGCCCTCCAAGCAGCACCGCCTTCTCCAGATGCCCTCCCTCCCAGCCACAGGGACTGCTACCACCTGCTCCAGAAGAACCCTGTCCCTGGGGCTCAAGGCCTGTGTCCCCTGACCCTGCTTTTCAGACCCCAACATCACTGGCAGGGACCCTCTTACACGAGGGCTTTGACAAAGTCCCCCTTCCCATTAGCATCCCTGCCGAAAGTTCAGGGAAGCTCTACTGTTTTTGTCTCCAAATGATGAAGCTGACACATTGTTGGATGTTGAAGTAGGGGACAGAGACCATGGGAGGCCACCTTCTAATCCTAGTTATGATAATGTCTCCCTTCCCCACTCAGATTCATATTGAAGCCCTAACCCCCAGTACCTTAGAGCGTTACTGGATCTGAAGGCAGGGCCTTTAAAGAGGTGATTAAGCTAAACTGAAGTCAAAAGATTCCATGTGTCCCATTCTTTTCTTTTTGAGACGACGTCTCGCTCTGTCACTCAGGCTGGAGTGCTGTGGCACAGTCACAGCTTACTGCAGCCTTGAGAGCCCAGGCTCAAGCAAACCTCCCACCTGAGCCTCCCAAGTAGCTGGGACCTCACGCACCCACCACCTTGCTCTGCTAACTTAAACATTTTTGTGGGGTCCAGGCGCAATGTCTCACGCCTATAATCCCAGCAGTTTGGAAGGCCGAGGCGGATGGATCACCTGAGGTCAGGAGTTCGAGATCACCAGCCTGGCCAACATGGTGAAACCCTGTCTCTACTAAAAATACAAAAATTAGCCGTGTGTGGTGGCAGGCACCTGTAATCCCCGCTACTTGGGAGGCAGAGGCAGAAGCATTGCCTGAACATGGGAGGGGGAGGTTGCAGTGAGCCGAGACCATGCCATGGCACCCCAGCCTGGGCAATAAGAGCGAAACCCCATCTCAAAAAAAAAAAATTTTTTGTGTGTGTGTGTGTAAACAAGGTCTTGCCATGTTGCCCAGGCTGGTCTCAAACTCCTGAGCTCAAGCAGTCCTTCCACCTCAGCCTCCCAGAGTGTTGGGATTACAGGCATGAGCCACGGCACCCCACCAGGACCGGAGTGCTGGTAAAAGAGATTAGGACACAGACTCAAATGGAGGGAACATCATGTGAAGACACACAGAGAAGACAAGTCCACGAGAGGGGCCAGAGAAGAAATCAACCCTGCCCACCCCTTGATCTTGGACTTCAGGCCTCCAGGGCTATGAGAAAGTAAACTCCTGTTCTTTAAGCCCGCTAGTCTGTGGTGCTTTGTTACAACAGTCCCCGCAAAGGCATGACACCAAAGATGACGACGCCAAAGGCCACAGAAACCGCCGCCTGACTTCCTGGTCACTCCCGTCTGCTCCCTGGCCACTGGCAATGTTGGAGGCTGGCCGTGCCCATGGCAGATGTCAGTGCTCCACCGGGCTGAAGCCATGCTCCCTCTGTCCCGCCTGTGCCCACTGGCCCTGCCTGCAGTCAGAAGAAAGTGCGTGAGTGCATGCGTGTGTGTTTGTGTGTGCGTGCGCGCGGGGCGGGGGAGGGGGGTCAGGTCTGGTGTCTGTGACAGCCCCACCCACTTCTCCACTGATTGCTGGGCTCACAGGTATGGAACTGGGGTGGTGGTCCCTGATCACTCACTTTCCCACTTTCAGGGAAAATCACTGGCTGCGGGCAGGCTCCTCGTTGGCCCCGCTGACATCTAGGCCTAGAGGAGTCTGTCAGGGGCTGTGTGGCATCCTGCGCCTTGTAGGATTCTGTGAAGCATCCTTGCCTCTACCTACCGTATGTGAGTAACACCCTCTCCCCCGATGTGTGGCAGGCACAAATGTCCCCGGCGCTGCCACACATGCCCTGGGAGCAGAATCACCTCCAGTGAGAACTGATGGGTTTCAGGAAGGATCTGACTGAGGTTACCTCAGGCCTGATGCTATCTGTAGAATTTGGAATCAGGGTCCCAGCACAGCCCCTGCCTACTCCAACCCTGCTGTCCTATTTCCCTGGCCCACTAGAAGGGAGGTATGTCATGGTATGGACAGCAGGTTCAACACAAAGCACCCAGGGCCTGGCCTGCCCCATGGTCTCAGGCAAATGTACTCTGGCCCTGAGCCTCCACTGCCTGGGGAGGGAGCCCCACTCTGTGCCCCACTTGAGTCCCTGGGGCTTGGACCACACATCTTCACTTGCCCACTGGGACCATCTAAAAAGCCTTCCTGGGTCACCATTTTGCCCTGGGAATCTCCTAAGTGTGTGCACACTTGTGTGAATGTATGCATGAGCTGTCAGCATGCCCGGGTGCCTGTGTATACGTGTGTATATACATGCATTTATACACAGGTACATGTGTGTGTGTGGAGGGGACAGCCATCAAGATCTGGGTGGACAGCAGCTCCAAGGAAAAGGACACGCAGGTCCCATGCACACCTGTCCCCCCGGCAGGGTAGGCAGTGGCTCCGCAGGTGGGATCCAGGCCATGGCTGTGCTGAGCTGGGAACCTCCTTGCCTAGCACAGTGCCTGGAACACCCAGGTGCTCAATTAAGATTCGTTTAATAAATCAGTGAGTGGATCTCAAAGACCTGGCTGTATCCTAGTATTGGCTGTGTTTTTATGAATCTCTGAGGGCTCCTTCAGGGTCTCCATACTCTCACTTGGAGACAATTGGGTCCAAGGAACCCAGGACTGTCAATTGAGCCTGACTCGGTGCCCTGAAATGCTTCCCAAGTTCAGCAAGTCTGCTGCCCATGTTGCACATACACATAGGGTGGGGTGGCCTATGACACTCCCTCTCTGCCCATCATGAATGGTGGAGTCTTGGGGAAAGCAGCCCCCAGCTGCCCTGCAGGTGCCTCCTACCGTGCGCAGATGCCGCTCCCTGCTCCATGAGAGAAGAGGTTAAGGGAATGGTGGGCCCCTTGGGCAGGGCCACCCACCCAGCCTGCCAGCTCTGCTCATGTTCTGAGGACAACCTTGCTACTATGAGTACGAAGGGGCCTGCAGGGCCCAGGGAGGCTGCTATGGCTGCAGAGCCCATGAAGGCCCCACCCAGTGTGAGATGCTTGTGCCCGCGTGGGTGGGAGCACTGTGTCTCGTTCTGTCCACGTGGTTTGGAAAGCCAGGAGGAAAAACAGCGCAGGCAGGAAGGCAGAGTCTAGCTCTCCCTCCCTATTCTGAAGGGCAGGGCCGCTCAGGGAACATCTGGCCCAGGGCATGGACTGGGTAGGGTGGAGACAAGACTCAGGATGAGGGCACTTCTCCTTAGACTGAGAATCTTCTAGAGTCCTGAATAGTGCTGGTGGCATCAGACAGGGATGGCTCAGAAACCAGCCAAGTCCACGGAGAGAAAACGAGAGAGCAAAGGGCAGGGCCCAGCCTGGGGCTATTTATAACTCAGAACTGTGCTCGTGCCAGTTAAGGGAAAGGACGTGAATGCAGGGAGGGCCATGATGGCAGGCAAGGAGGCTGGGGCGGGTAGGAAGCCGGAGGTAAAGGGAAATTGGAAAAAGAAGTCAGTGACATGGAAGGAAGTACCTCCTACCATGATCCTACCCAGGCAGGTACAAACACAAAACCTGAGGCTAAATAAAAGCCAACAAAGAACCCACAAAACAAAATGGGCTTGTGACAACCAAGCAGGAAAAGCTGACAGAGAACGAGGTGAATAAAACTGTTGTCAGCTGACTGCTGCCAGGCCCACAGGTGAGCTGAGGGAGGGAGCTGGAACTGAGCTTCAGGACAAGGCAGAGCGCAATGAGGCCCCTTCTAGTCCCTCCTCCTAGTTTCCCTAATCTGGGGGAGCCCAGTGGTGATCAGGGTGCAAAACCCTGGCTGCAAGGGGCAGGCTGCTCCGGGCTGGGAGTGTGCAGTGAGCACCGCTGCTGGAAAAAGGACCCTCTTCTGCTCTGGGCAAGGGCAGATTTTCATTAGCAACAGACTGGACATTGTCCTGCAGCCCAGCCAGCGAACACCCCAAGAACCTGGCCCTGATGGCATACAGAGGGCAAGGGGCTGGCCACTGTGCAGGGTCCTGGGGCTGCAGGTTGTTGCAACAGGCCAACCTGTGTGAATCCTTCCCACAGCACCCTGGGCAAGGGGGCACCTGGCCTCTGTCCAACCTCTGCCTACACTACGAATGGGTATTCACAGAGAAGACCCGTGCCACAGGAGTCCACTGAGACCCCAAATTGCCAAAAAGTTCCCTGAGGGCTTCCTGGTGGCCCCATGGCCCAAAAGACTCAAGATCAGCATCTGGGACCAAACGAGGGGTGGGTGGCGTGCAGGGGGAGGGGGATGAGCACGCTGATGCCCACGTCCCACTGGCTGGTCAGGATCAGCATGCCTCTGGCCTCAAGATCACCATGCTCCCTGGGGGAAGTGAGGTGTCCTAGGAAGCGACAGCCATGTCTTCAAACCAAAGATCAGAAATGAAAGATGACATTTGCATGGCTTGTTGCGTGGCTGGCAGGGAAACCAGGAAATCAAGGCTATGCTTGTCTCCAGAGCAGTGAAGGGCACCCGTCCTGGGGCCCCAGCCACTGGGAAGGAGCACCAGAAGGTTTCTAGAAAGGAGCTACACACAGCTCTCCAATCAAATCCCCTCCTCTTCAGACCAGCTCTGGGCCAGGGGGCGTGCTTGGGACTGGAAACCCTGGACCTGACAGGCAGAGATGTGCAACCTTCTGCAGGATGTGCACCATGAGAAACGTCTACAGCTCCTGTGAGGGCAGAAGCAGGGAGCAGGGGTCGGGGGACCAGGATCTGGAGTGGCTTCACAGAGGAGGAGCCCTGCACTAAAAGGTGAAGGCTGTACTCCAAGTCAGAGCCAGGTGTGGGAGGGAGGCCCCCTCCCCCGGACAGGGACCAGGGGCACTGAGTGGGCAGATCAGCTTCCTTTCGGGGCCAGAAGTACATCAAGGACTGGCTGGGTGAAGATAGCCCTCAAGGATGATGGAAAGAAATAGCCTTTCTTAAGTTCAGCACTTAGCCTACCTGAACTTAGTACCAAAACCACGCTCACAAAGCAGCAAGAGAGAGGATACACCAAGAAAGACAAGACAGATGAGGGAGAGAAAGTGTGTCCACTGAAGAATCAGGAAGGTTTCAAACCCTGGAGCTGCGTGGCCCAAGCAAGTTACTTCACCTCTCTGAACCTCCTAGTCTGTACAAAGCTGACGCTAGATGTGGGATTGGAAGCTACCTAAGGCAGCAGCCTGTGTGTGCTGCATGGAGCAGGTACATGTTACCCACTGGCTTCCTCTCCCATCCTCTCAGTTCAGGACGAGAAGCCTGCCCCGCACCAACGCCTTCAGAAATCACAAAAGCATATACATAAGCAGCAGTCCCGGGCCTGCAGCTAACGCGTCAGCCCCAGAGAAAAGCAGCTCAGTGAGAAGATGCACTTCTGGAGCTTCCTTATAGAACCAGGGGAAAGTCCATCCCTCTCGTGTTCTTTTTATTATTATTATTGTTTTTTGGTTTTTTTTTTTTTTTTGAGACGGAGTCTCGCTCTGTCGCCCAGGCTGGAGTGCAGTGGCACGATCTCAGCTCACCACAAGCTCCGCCTCCCAGGTTCATGCCATTCTTCTGCCTCAGCCTCCCGAGTAGCTGGGACTACAGGCACCCGCCACCACGCCTGGCTAGTTTTTTCTATTTTTAGTAGAGACGGGGTTTCACCGCGTTAACCAGGATGGTCTCGATCTCCTGACCTCGTGATCTGCCCGCCTCGGCCTCCCAAAGTGCTAGGATTACAGGCTAGAGCCACTGTGCCCGGCCTATTATTTTTTTTTTTTAAGATGGGGTCTTGCTGTGTTGCCCAGGCTGAGTGCAGTGGTGAGAATCACAGCTCACTGTAGTCTCAAGCTCCTGGACTCAAGCAGTTCTCCCACCTGAGCCTCCTGAGTCACTGAGATTATAGGTGTGAGCCACCGTGCCAGGCTACGGTGTTGTCAGGGTAGAAATCATCTAGAAATAAGCTAAGCAGAGTGGGGAAGAAATCTGTCATCAGGGACCAAAAAGACAGAAAGGAGCAACTGCCCTGGGGCAGTGATTTTCTCAGCCCAAGAAGGAAGGAACCCAAGAGGTCGAGTTGGGGGATATGCACCAATGGCAAAGGGTGAGCATCTGGGCCCCAGAGCACTGCTGAAGCAGCCCCCTGAGCAGTGGGACCAGCGAGAGGAGTCAGAACTTCATGCAGGGCCGGGCGGCCCAGCACCACCCAGCCTGTGACCATTCCAGGCTATGTCCTCACGTGAGTGGGGGCGCGGATTCACTGCTTTCTCAGAGGGCATGGCAGAGCTTGTACTGAATGTGCCGCTGCTCACTAGCCATGATACCTTGGGCAAGCCACCACTGGACTTCAGTTCCACATTTGTAAAGTGGAAGTGACAGCAAGGCCAAGAATTACTAATGAGGGTCAAGTGAAAACTCACAGGAAAGGCTCTGATCACATGGATGGAGCCAGCTTTGGTAAAAGGGAGCAAGAAAACTTTATGAAGCAGAGACCCAAGCCCAGATACCACCCGGCTCAGCAGCGTTGCCGATGCCACCATGCAGGTCTTGCTGGTTTTGGTGGTTGCCTCTGGTGCTGACATTCTCAACCTCAAGACCACGTGCTGCGTGCCTCCTCCATGCTCAGTTCAAAGCATCCCCCGATCTCCCTGACCAACACGTCTGGCAGGCTGTCTGTGTACCACATGTAGAGATGAGGAAGGAGTTTTTGGTAACCCCCTCGGCTTCCAAACCATTGGCTGCTCCACCACCTACCTGCTATGTACCCCTGAGCATGGGGCCGCACTTCAGGGAGCCTCACCTGGCCCTCCTGCCACACGTACACCATGGGGACTCACCGCTTTAGTGGACTCCAGGGCTCCCGAGACCAGCGCATCCCGGCTGCCCCTGCCCTTGCTGCTGAGGTGGGGCGATGAGGAGGGCGAGTCATCAATGTAGGGCAGCCCGTCTTGGTGCCGGCGCTGCTCCTCTGCCCGGTCTGCAGCGCAGCCGTACCCAGGTGGTGTTCCGAACGAGCCATCTGTGTGTGCAAAGCATCCTGTGTTAGAGACAGAGAAGGGAGCATCCATACCCAACCTGTCCCAGCAAGCACCCAGCTGACACCATCTCTGTCCCCAACAGGCATCTCACAAGTACCTCGGGTATGCTGATGTCCCCTTCACATCTGACTGGTTAACGACCACAAGGTGAGGGGTGATGAACACGGGCTCACTGCCCAGACAATACAAGGGGCTTTCTGAGATACGTCTGCCCCCGGCAGGGGATTGTGACTTAAGAAATGTATATTTGATCTTTGCATACCCCACTCCCTACTTTCCTGGCATGCAGTTCCTAAAACCCTTGGAATCTCCAAAGTAATACATGTCTTTATGTGTGCTAATAAATGACAGGTGGCTGGGGCTCCTGGATAGCCTCAGGAAGCGGGCTGGTTGCCAGGAGAATCAACCACATGATTAGACAGTTGGCACCCCCAACTCTCTGGGAAAGAACCACAGCTAAAGGGTGAGTTGATCACTAATGGTCAGTGATGTAATCAATCATGCCTACACAATGAAGGCTGTCCAAAAGGCCAGGGTTAGGAGAGCTTCCAGGTTGATGAAAATGTGGCAGTGCCTGGAGAGGGCATGGGAGCTCTGCACCCCTTCCCACAGACCTTCCTCTATGCACCTCTTCCATCTGGCTATTCCTGAGTTGTGTCTTTGTATTAAAAACCAGTCACCTAGCAAGTTATTTTCCTGAGTTCTGTGAGCCTTTCCAGCAAGTGATCAAACTCAAGGAAGGGGCTGTAGGAGCCTCCAATTTATGGCCAGTAGACAACCTGGACTTGCTACTGACACCTGAAGTTAGGGGCAGTCTTCTGGAGCTGAGCCCTTAACTGTGGGATCTGATGCTAACTCCATGTCAGCACTGAGTTGAAATTGTAGGACACCCAGCTGGTGTCTGCAGAGAACTGCCTGGTGTGGGAAAAAGCCCCCACATTTGGTCACATAAGCTTGTGTACAGAGAAAACAGTCGGTTCTCCCTCATACAGGGGGGTTGGGTTGCTATAGAAAGGGGGACCCCTGGCCAGATGCAGTGGCTCATGCATGTAAGCCCAGCACTTTGGGAGGCCGAGGTGGGCAGATCACTTGAGGTCAGGAGTTCAAGAACAGCCTGGCCAACATGGTGAAACCCCATCTCTACTAAAAATACAAAAAATTAGCTGGGCGTGGTGGCAGGTGCCTGTAAGCCCAGCTACTTGGGAAGCTGAGGCAGGAGAATTGCTTGAACCCGGGAGGTGAAGGTTGCAGTGAGCCAAGATTGTGCCACTGCACTCTAGCCTAGGTGACAGAGCAAGACTCTGTCAAAAAAAAAAAAAAAAAAGAAAAAGAAAAAAAAGAAAAAGAAAAGAAAAGGAAAGGAAAGAAAATGAAAAGAAAAGGAGGAACCCAAAATGTTACCGTCTTGTTCTCTGGAATGGTCCTTGCACACCCTGCCCATGGGGTCTGATGGGGTGAGGAGCACAGGCCAGCATGCTGGCTGGGGTGCAAGTCCTGGCCACCATAAGCCGTGAGTCCTACCATGTTCTTCCCATCCCAGCCCAGGGAATTAGGGCTACAGGTTCCCCCATCCCTTGGTCCAGCCCAGCTTCTGGATGACTCATAGCCCACCTCCCAGCAGGTCTGTCAAAATCCCAGACCACCTTACCCCAATGTGAGTACCCGCAGGAGGACAGAGTGGCTTATTCTACAAGAGTCCCCCTGCCTGTTGGGACTATCTGGTTATACGGAGTAATTCATTCCTCCCAGAGGCACCTGGAGATAATCACTCCCTTCCTCTCAGGCTGAATGACAAAGCCCAACACGTGTTTCCAAGGCCTTAGCCATCTGGAGCTCCTCGATGGCCTGTCCTCAGCCTGAGTTTTCTAAGCCAGTGGACTCACCACGACCATTGTCAACCCACAAGGATCTTCTAGCCCGATCCATGGCTCATATGAGGATCCCTTCTCCACTCCTTCCAAAGGGGGCCTCTGAGGCCCATGGGACTTCTGAGAGCTCACCCTGATGGGGTGGCGTCACTCTCACCATGAGTCACCTGTAAGTAGCCCTGCCCAAAGGTTACCAGCAGAGGTGACCTCGGTGTTCATTCACGAGTTTACAACTGCCACCACACACACCCAGGCTGGGTGGGCACAGGGCTGCCCTCAGGCATTCAGAGCAGCTGACCCAGCAATCCTGAAGCAGGCACAGTTGTCGTTCCTTTCCATGTGGATGGCCAGGGGGGAGCCGTGTGCCTGGAGTGATCTGCCACTAGCTGTGAGTGCAGGTGGCCGAAGTCACGGCTTCCTTGCGTACCTCTGCCTCTCCCTCTCCCAGGTTCTCCACTTCCTGTCCCACAGGACTCAGCACTCTCTAACAGGTGTCCCCAGCCCTGGCTGCACATCAACAACACCTGGGAGGCTTTGAAAACAATTTCACTGGGATCCACACAGACCTGCCGAATCTGAAGCTATAGGGGCTTCCTGGGGAATCCAGCTGGCAGCCAGGGCTGAGACCTGCTGAGCAACCCCAACCCAGCGTCTAGCACTTTGCCAGCTGCTGACCTACAGCACTGTCCCAGGTGACTGCACACAGCTAATGGCTGCAAAGGCCAGGCTGGGTTCTGTTTCTGTGCGTATCCAAAGGAGAATTCCAGGAAGAGGCTGGGTCTGGGTTGAGCACAGCAGTCAATGTATTAAGACATCAAGAGCAGGGGGCACCCACCAAGTCCCTCAACAAGCTGTATGGAGGAATCTGGTCTCCTTGATCCATGGGACATTGAGGGGGCTCCAGGTACCAACATCACCATGTTGGTTATCAATGCTCAGTTCCTTTGGCCTTTGGGTGGGGCAAGCGAGCCGTGGTGTAATCCCTCGGAAGCAAGGCTCGGGCCCTCCCCGTTGCTACCTCTCTGTGAGTTATCCACATCACTGAAGCCATCCATGCCTCACCTTTCTTGACTTCATTTATTAATTTTTTTTTTATTTTTTGTAATGAAAACCACAATTTCGTCATTGGGTGCCACCCATTTTTGCTTAGATTCACACTATTTCCTTAGTGCTAGTTAGCAGATACTGAAATGATCTTCGCAGACTGCACAAAATGTGGAACGCTTCACGAATTTGTGTGTCATCCTTGCGCAGGGGCCATGCTAATCTTCTCTGTACCGTTCCAATTTTTTAGTATATGTGTTGCCGAAGCGAGCACGACTTCATTTATTAATTTAACAGAGACGCTGACTCGCTATGGTGCCTGGGCTAGTCTCCAACTCCAGGGCTCAAGCAATCCTCCTGCCTCAGCTTCCTTTTTTTAAAATCATGCATGTGAACTAGACAATCGATAAGGATCCTCTAGCTCTAAAATGCTACCGTCACTATTAGATGAAGGCCCTGCCATCCCCCCGGCCTCCTTCAACAACTTCCTTACACTAGTCTCCCACCCCATGACCCTCCAGATTTGGCTTTTACATTAGCTCGGAATTGTCAGCGACTATTAAATGTTCTAGCAGGAGTGTCCAAGTGCCGAAGGGAGACAGTACACTCATGGGTTCGTTTTGTTTTTGGTTGGGCCAGCAAAGCCCCTTCCTCATCCCTCTTTTCCACTTATCACTAGAGAAAGAGACTAAAACCACAGCTTCAGGCTGCGAAACATCTAAAATGAAACAAACAGCTGGGCGCGGTGGCTCACGCCTGTAATCCCAGCACTTTGGAAGGCTGAGGAAGGTGGATCACGAGGTCAGGAGATCGAGACCATCCTGGCTAACAAGGTGAAACCCTGCCTCTACTAAAAATACAAAAATTAGCCAGGCGTGGTGCAGTTACTCGGGAGGCTGAGGCAGGAGAATGGCTGAACCCGGGAGGCGGAGCTTGCAGTGAGCCCAGATCGCGCCACTGCACTCCAGCCTGGGCAACAGAGCGAGACTCATCTCAAAAAATAAATAAATAAATAAATAAATAAATAAATAAAATAAAACAAAACAAAACAACAAAATAAGGTTGGTTAGACCTGCTTTTAACCAACGGTTTTGCTGTTTATCTAAAGATGATCTTAAGACATCTTCATCACCTGGTGGAGCACCTTTCATCTGAGCGCTTTCCACGCCCATGACTACACTGACTCCCAGGCAAGGCCAAGTCAACACCCAGTAGGGAATCAACCCAGCAAGAACTTCAGGGTCAGACTCGCGGTCTCAGGGCTTGCTCCAGAGTAACTGGAAGACTCCACAGGTGCAAAGCCACGTGCTGACTTAGCAACGTCCACGCTAAAACCTGGTGCAAGAATCAAGTGTCCGGTGAGGGTTTGCCCGCCCGTGTCCAGTGAGACTTTAAAGTGGACACGTCACCCCGCCAGGTGAGACAGAGAGACCAGGTCTCATGGCCAGACTCTGCTGGGGAATTAGGATGCTCCAGACCGCTAAAACCCCAGCCGTTTCCCCCTCTGCAGAGATCTCAAATCAATGTCTGGGTGACTGATGCTTTTAAGTCTGCATTCCAGATGGCCTGCTCATCCCTACCACATTCCATATGAGGGCTTCAGCCCCTGCCTCAGCTCACCCAGATCACTCCAATCCAGACTTGTTGCCCCTCATTCTGCTGACTCTTCCAGTCTGCTCCAAGGCAAATGATGGGGTGGGGAGGACTGCCCCTCACTTTCCTCATTCCCCCAGTCTAACCAGCACACAGGAACCTGCTTTTTCACAAAGCAGTTATTCACACCTGAGTTCCCCAAAGTACACAAAGCACCACCCCCCACCTGTTATTTTATTTTCAGAGACAGGGTCTTGCTGTCACCCAGGCTGAAGTGCAATGGAGTGATCACAGCTCACTGCAGCCTCAAACTCCCGGGCTCAAGGGATCCTTCCAAGTAGCTGGGACTACAGGCGCACGCCACTATGCACAGCTAATTTTTAAAAACATTTTTTGAGACAAAGTTTTGCTATGTTGACCAGGCTGATCTTAAACTCTGGCCTCAAGGAACCCTCCTGCCTCGGCCTCCCAAAGCG